TACTTAACTCATTAAATATCGAAAATAGAAGACAAGTGCACTATTTTTAATTATAGGAAATGCGTTTTTCTAAGGTACATAAACTTTTGGGATTGACTATATAGCCAATACATCTTTAATTGCTTTACAGACTGACCGATGAATACGAGAGACCAGTCATGATCGACGTTACGGTCGAAGAATCTTTAACTGGTAGAAGACAAAATACTTCAATGCACGTCACGTTGCATAAGCATAGGTACACGATGGAGCTGATAAAAACGTCGGAATACTATAAACCCGGGCTGAAGTACACAGCGTTTGTACGTGGCATTTGTACAAATTATCCTCGATCTTAATTTAAGTTGAGAAACGTCACGTGAAAATGATTGTAGATAAAAGTAACGTATCACGATGGAACACCGGTTCGAGATGACAAGAATCCAGTCATGATAAAGTACGGATATGCCTACGTCTTTGAGAATCAGTCTATGTATACGAACATCAGCAGGATGCTCGATCAGAATGGGATGGTGAAATTAGATTTGTATCCGCCGAAAACGAACGACAGTGCGTCGTATCCTTTGAACATCGAGGTAAAGTATCGCAGGTAGAATATCAAATGAAAAACTATACTCGTTCTAATGATAATTGATCAACAGGCTCAGTATTTAAATCTCTATGAATGGTTTGCGTCGACGAATCAAGCAATTTCCCAGAACAACGAATACATACAAGCTATATTAAAAACAGAGAGCCCTATGGTAAATCGTGACGTAGAGATTGAAGTGAATTCGACGACTCCATTGAAATACATTAATTATGAGATATTTGGTCGTGGGGATATATTAGATGCTGGCTCTATATACGTGCAGAACAAGCACACTGCCAGTTTCAAGTAAATATTTATAAAACCGTGATTATTAAACATGGTTTGCTGATTGCTCGTAAAACACGTATGTTTAGATTTTTAGCGACGTACGTTATGGCTCCTACTGCACACGTGATCGTGTATTATGTAGGGGACGATGGTGAGATCATCGCAGATGCTTTAGACGTAGAACTCGAAGGAGTACTTCAAAACTTCGTAAGTCCGTCTTAAAGAATAAAATATGAAACATTCAATGTAAGAAAGAACTGATGGATGTTTCTTTATTTCATGCAAGGTCGATATTAAACTGACGCCTGAAGAAGTGGCACCCGGAGAGAACGTGAATTTACTGATTACCTCGAAACCAAATTCCTATGTTGGATTACTAGGCGTAGATCAGAGATCTATACTATTGAAATCTGGCAACGACATTTCATACGTACGTAACTAAATGATTTTTGTTAAAGACCTTTTATAATCGAGATACATTTGGCTTCTAGGAACAAGTATATAACGAATTAAAGTCGTATGACAACGTGCAAGATTCGCCTTATGCAAATTCTATTTTCGATCGGTATTTATGGAGCCCTGGTTCAGCCACAGCAAACGACGTTTTCAGGGTAAAAGATTCACGCTATAAAGTTGAAGCTTCGTCGAGAGATTCGTACTCTAAATATTTCTTTTAACAGGAGAGCGGTGCTATCATAATGACGAACGGATATGTTCATGAGAACTTCCCGATTCGTAAGTGAACGATTTTCTGTACAGCTTATCGTGTGTAATACTAATAGCGATTTACCTATCTATTAGACGTGACGCTAAATATTTTCTAATACCATGTAACATGTACCGGTCGATTGTTATTTCGATTATTTATAACGTAGAACAAGAGGAATGTCGTTGAATCTAATTTTTCATTTAATACGTGCTACCAATTCTTTGGTCGATTAGTTCCAGTATTTAACAAGGCTTATGTCTGTATAGTATACTACAGATCGGATGTAGAATTCGCCATGCCGGTTGCTGAAAGTTTCGGTGCAAGTTTCGGTGCAGGTTTCAGTGGATCAGTGCCAGCAGCGAAGACGAAAGTACGCAAGAATTTCCCTGAAACTTGGCTTTGGCATATGCTTGACGCTGGGTAATTCCATTGAACATTTTTACCTAATAGAAGTTCGCACTATATTTTTTATCATCGACGAAACACGGTGTTGATCGGTAACTGTTTAAACGAAATATAAATGTGACTAAATACTGTATTAATTAACTAAGAGCACTCGACACGCATCATCGTTGAAATACAGTTTACTAATATCCATCGGAAGGGAATAATTCGATACCGCATTCATGCGACTTAATGCTGTGGTGACGGTTTTGTCGTAACTCGCATCTCGCTCTTTAGAATTTAACCATCTATCAACGCCTACGATATGCGAACCTACTGTTACGACGTGATTTATTGAAGTACGAAAGTAACGAGAACGTGCAATGAGAAATTAGGTTCATCTTTGCTCTCAGTAGTCTTATGTCTCCTGTTGTTTTTTTTTTCTCGTTCCCGTTGGTCGAGCCGATATAATGCAATATAGAGAATTGGATTGCAGAAAAACCGGGAATACTGGAGGGTAGAATAACAGGCTCACCTCATGGGGCATCCACACTTCGACCAGACCTTGGTCCGCCCGTTACGCACAAAATAGCAACAAGACCACCATTGGCAGGTCCTTATGCCTTCTCTCGCATCCCACCTCCCGTTTGGAATAAGCCCCGTGTATTTCTAATGCATGACATCTTAAGCACCTGGCTTTTTACAAACTTCTCTTCAGGGTATTTATCTCATATACTTTCAGTTTACGAAAGCTTTTACATACACTCTACGCTTTTACGTATACATAGTTCTTCGAGCGAACGGTCTCAAGTGGAACGCCAGCTCCGTTTTGTACAAATCATTTTCTGTGTAACGTAAATATGGAATGATTCTGGGTATTCTTGTATGATACAGTGTAACATGTCTCGTTTCTAATTACTATATTACATCACATATTATATTTTGTCATTCTTTCATTCACATTTTGTAAAGTTTTTGTTTTTTAAATAAGGCCGATCAGTCTCCTAGTGAGACACATATTCGCGGACGAATATGTTTTGTTAAAAATATATTTTTGTAGCTTGCGATTAGTTAACTTCCGGTAAGGACTTAGAGAAGTTAGATCGAAATAGAAATTGCAAGTATAATATGTAAATTCCATGTGTATAGGTACGAGGGGAAGAATGAACTGAAGAGGAATGTACCCGATTCGATCACATCGTGGGTACTTACTGCATTTTCTGTGAACGATGTTCACGGATTCGGTCTCATACAGGAGCCAAGAAAGGTGACATGATCTCGATATGACATGAAACAACAGGAAACTCGACATAATGACTAACAAGAAAAAATGTATCCTCTTCTAGTTGAAAGTTTTTCGACCGTTCTTTATCTCTATGGATCTCCCTTATTCTGTGATACGAGGAGAAATCGTCGCGATACAAATTGTAGTATTTAACTACATGAACAAGAACGTTATGGCTGAGGTTTTATTAACGAACGAGGGCAAATTCGACTTCGCGGAAATGTCTAATGAAGTTCACGATGCGCCGAGTAAGGACATTTTGTAATTTGAAACGTACTAGTCGTTATATGATATAAGACATAAGCGACTTGGTGATTGTTTAGAATTGGAACTGTATCGGAAAAAGAAGATAGAAGTGAAAGCTAATTCCGGGAGCAGCGTATCCTTCATGATTGTACCAAGAGAACTGGGATACATTACGATTAAAGCCACTGCGAATAGCATATTAGCTGGTGACAGCGTCGAAAGCAAGCTGCTGGTCAAGGTAAAGTATCCTCGACAACGCGTGATTTAGAAATTATTAACAATTATTGAAGGATGTATTGGCTACACAGTCAATCCGAAAAGTTTATGTACCTTAGAAAAACGCATTTCCTATAATTAAAGAGAAATCAGACTTAAATATTTCTGTGACTTGTACAGGCCGAAGGAGACACGCAATACATAAACAGAGCTATGTTCTTGGATCTCAGAAGCACGAGGAGCACATCGACCAATATCACAATTGATATACCTAAGAACGCTGTACCAGGTTCAGAGCATATTGAAATCTCTGCAGTAGGTAATGCTTTCGCTTGTTACACAATAATTATTCCCATAGAATCTATTATACTTATTTTATTATCCGTGTATGTACATTTTGATCAGGCGATATTTTGGGCCCAAGCATTTTGAACATAGCCAATTTGATTAAAATGCCATCGGGTTGCGGAGAACAGAATATGTTGAACTTCGTTCCAAATATAATGATATTAAATTATCTCAAGGTAAGCACAACTACATGAATCGAACGACTACACAATATAAAATAATTAATGTTTATGTAAAAATGTATAGAACACGAATCAATTGACGCAAGCGATACAAGGGAAAGCTCTTCGATACATGGAGATAGGATATCAAAGGGAGTTAACGTATAGACACGACGATGGATCCTTCAGTGCATTCGGCAAGTCGGACAGCAACGGATGCACGTGGTAAGTTATCGTTACTTTAATTGTATATTAATTGAAATCAGAATTTAATTCCTTTTCTCATCAGGCTGACTGCCTTCGTGGCGAAAGCCTTTAAACAAGCTGCCGCGTACATTGCAATTGAAGACAGGATAATAGACGAAGCTCTGCAATGGTTGTCTAACAATCAAGCTCCAAACGGAAGCTTCCCTGAAGTGGGAAGGGTCAGTCATCGGGACATGCAAGGAGGAGCAGCAAAAGGACTTGCACTCACGGCATTCACTCTGATCGCTTTTCTGGAAAATGCAGTAAGTTCGCAAGGATCATGAATTTCAATATTGCAATTCATTGCATTTTGCGTTACAGGATTCTAGCGAGAAGTACAGAAACACGATAAACAAAGGAATCGATTACATCGTCCGTAATATGAACGATCTGGATGATGTCTATGCTCTGAGCATATGCACATACGCCTTGAATCTGGCGAAACATCCGTACGAGAGTACTGCATTTAATTTACTAGAAGCTAAAGCCATGACGAAGGGAGATATTAAATGGTGGAGTAAGCCTATACCAGCGGACGATAAAAATCCGTGGTACCATTCTGTGCCCCGGCCCGTCGACGTCGAAATGACGTCCTACGCTTTGTTGACTTATCTAAGACGTAATCTGGTGACCGACTCTTTACCGGTAATGAAATGGCTCGTGAAACAGCGAAATGCCGAAGGAGGATTTGCTTCCACGCAGGTAAAAGCTATTACTTTCATTCAATATATTTGAATTGTAACGAATGTAATCTCGGAATTCTATTGTTGATCATTTTTAGGACACGGTGATTGGAATACAAGCTTTAGCGAATTTAGGTGAAAAGCTGGCAATAAAAAATAACGCCGTTTCGATAACGTTCATGTACGAAGGAGGAGGACAGACTCAAATGAACATAAATCCCGATAATTCAATGATACTCCAAAAACAAATGGTAAGAACTGTATAGATATACTGAAACGAGATGAATAATCATTGTTTCTCTTTTTCTGAAGTTACCAAGGAAAGCGCGTTTAGTTAATATAACAGCTACCGGGAACGGGTTCGCTTTGGTCCAAGTCTCGTTCCAATACAATTTAAATGTAACCGGAGCGTGGCCGCTCTTCACGTTGGACCCTCAAGTAGATAAAAATTCAAACGCGAATCACTTGCAGCTTTCGATTTGCTCTGGGTATGTTACGATCGTAGTTCAACGTCGCTTATAGTACATTTAACGCGGATCATTTGTTATCAGATTTGTTCCAACCAAAGAAGCAAATCAGAGTAATATGGTAGTAATGGAGGTCAGCTTGCCATCAGGTTTCACAGTAGATAGGGAATCGTTACCTAGTCTCGAAGTATCGCAAAACGTGAAACGAGTAGAGACTAAAAACGGGGACACAGTGGTGGTGTTATATTTCGATGAGGTATGAGAAATAAAGAATACCAAGAGAATTGGGATTGAATATTAAACTGGGAACGTGTTACAGATGAACAGACAAGAATACTGCCCTACGGTCTCTGCGTACAGAACGCACAAAGTGGCGAAACAAAAACCAGTACCAGTTACCATATACGATTACTATGATTCGTGTAAGTCAGAACGATAGACCAACTCGTTCGTATTGATCTTGCCAATTTTATCATCGATCATTATTTTTAGCAAGGAGAGCGAGAGTGTTTTACGAGCCACGGAAAGCCACACTGTGCGACATATGCGAAGACGAGGATTGCGAAAATCTATGCGTCTCGCAGCCCGACAAACAGAAAGATCTTCAACAATCTGCTGCCTCGTATTCGTCGACTTCCGTCTACGTACAAACCTTATTTACTTTATTTTACATTATATACGTCGGATTCTTGTAACCGCAGATCGTTCCGCGAATTCTTATGTAAACTATTACCCGTATAAAGTACAATGATAAAAGTTTTGTATAAAAAGAGATAACTTGCAACCAAAGTGTATCGCGCGCAAGGATCACGTACTATTTTCATACGGAGTCAATCTAGTTGAGCGATTGTTAAACTTCGACTAATATTCAACTGTTTCATACGTCGACAATAATTATTGAAACTTATTAATTGTTATGTTAAGCAACTTTACTAAATAGGACAGAAAACTTGTCGAATTATTAAATCGGTTCATCGTATTCTTGTGTATGCACCGACATCTTTTATGTTATAACAAATATACCTTCTTGTTATTGATAGCACATACTGATACTTTTCATTTATTACCTACCTAAAAACAGAGCGAATTCTCTGAAATTCGTCTCTGCTTAAAGCAATATCAATTTCATTTTCATAACTCGCAATGCTTAAGCCAAGATGGAGACCCCGATCACGTGAGCAATGGCGATAATAACCCAAATCGAAAAATAATAGTGTAAGAAGAGTAATTATAACACTTACGTCAATAAATCCGTTGTAACTAATCGTCTGTAACGATTACGTACGTAGAAGGGTTTGAAATAGGTTCGAAGTCGAACCTGTCGAACGCCGGTATGTCAGGGTATGACGTGATGCACCGAAGTCGACCGAACAGTACGAGGCACGAAGACCAAAATGGCGACGCACCGCGCGGCGCTATGATCGAAATTCCTCAACCAGACGTGTTTGTTGAGATCTGTCGACAACATCGTAGACGTGACATTTAGAAATAGCGCAAAATAAATCAACGTAATAATGATATACTAACGAAGAGTAAATGAATGCAAATATAATGGATAAGATTTTAGCGAACACGTTGAATGTCAGCCGGCGATTAGCGCGTAGAACCACCGCGACTTGTCAACGTTTCAAGTAAGTCAATAAACGAATGTCTATAAATTACAGGATAGAATTCCGAGTTAAATGATAGATATTGATACGTTGATTCCAGGACTTGCGAAGATCATCCTGTACGAATGTATACGGATTACAATAACCGCGCGTTAAAATCGTGCCTGCTCGCTCCTACGAAACCAGCAATCAACATCACGCAAAAGCGGACGATGTTTATACAAACGCAGGACACGCCGAATCCTAACAGTTTGAAGTTTCTACCTGGCATCTCGGTACTAGAACCAGGCCAGACTAAGGATTTCCCGAACGCTCCGGACGCGTATTGCTCTCCGCTCGCGAAAATGTTGTTCCGCATCGAGGGCGTGAAAGCTGTATTTTTCGGACCGGATTTCATTACAGTAACAAAGACGGACGAGGACGTCGAATGGAGATTATTAAAACCAGAGATATTCGCTGTAATCATGGACTTCTTTGCATCGGGCTTACCTGTTTTAACGGACGAGCAGCCTGCATCTGATACCCGTAAACTTCTCTCCTTTCAGCTTCCACAAAACTTATTTACGTGAATTTTACACGTTCACGTGTCTTCTATTTATTGTAGAAATTAGCGAGGATGATAGTGAGATAGTCCAAATGATAAAGGAGTTACTGGACACCCGAATACGACCGACGGTGCAGGAGGATGGGGGTGACATCGTGTTTATGGTAAGTCCGACATCATGAGTGTAATATCTTCGTGAAATGATGTACTACGTTGTGATTTCAGGGTTTCGAAGAAGGGATAGTGAAGTTGAAGATGCAAGGTTCGTGCACGAACTGTCCGAGTTCCGTAGTCACTTTAAAGAACGGCGTTCAGAACATGATGCAGTTCTATATCCCAGAGGTTCTCGGTGTGATACAGGTAGAGGATGATACTGATAAAATAGCGAAGAAGGAGTTTGAGAAGTTCGAGGCGAAGATTAAGCAGGCTAAAACTAGTGAAAAAGAATAAATAGTTTAGTGATGTATGTAAAAGTTTTATGTAAATACAAATAAATTAAATCGCGTGTACCTCCGTCGTCTTTTTAGTCTTTTCTTTTTTTATTTAACTTCTGTATAAAGAACTTAACGGCTAGATACAGAAACTTGCCAGACACGGATCGTGTTATCCGAGTATCCAGCGAACAGCGTTTGTCCGTCGGTAGACCACGCTAGAGACAGACAATGAGGCGGCTCCGCTTTGCTCGTCGCGGACACAACCTCTGGTTTCAATTCCTCGACCATTTCTTTCGTTTCGAGATCCCAAATCTTGATCCACGGCCCGAACGCGGCGCAGAGCCAGTACCGATTTGGACTGAAGCACAGGGCTGTTATAATGTCGTTATGGTCCAAAGTGTGAAGGTGCTTTCCGTCGTTCAGATCCCATAACATGGCCTTGCAATCCTATACGTTAATAAAATTCGTGAATAGAATGATAGCAAAGAATTTTTTAGAAATTGATTTCTAGAATATGTTATATCGTACTTTGCCACCAGAGGCGCAGAGCGAACCGTCGGGGGATACAGTAACTGTGTTAAGGTACCCTGTATGCCCGCTGTGGTTGATCTTCAATTTGCAGTTCGTTAGATTCCATACCTGCGAAACAACGAATAATGCATTAGAAGTAATGCTCTAAGCAAAGATCGTGACGATAGTCGACAATTTTAAAGATCAGTCCCATATCCGCAATACACTCATGGATTATCATGTTTGTATAAAAATTTATCATCATTATTACAGATCATTACAAGAAAAGCGAGTATTTATACAGAAACCGATGACGAACCTTAACTAATTTGTCCCAACCAGCAGAGACGATGATAGGGTTCGAATGATTTGGCGAGAATCGCACGCAGCTGACCCAGTCAGTGTGACCGTCGTCTTGAATCGTGTACTTGCACTCGGCCAAAGTGTTCCACAGCTTTATTGTCTTGTCCCGAGAACCGGAGACAATTTGTCGATTGTCCACAGAGAAGGCAACGCTAAGAACATCCTGTTAACATAGAATTAATCAACATGCCCAATGAATCTAACCCTCAGCTGCGCGTGTCCATGTATCAAACGTGATTGATACTTACAATAGCACAGATTCAATTGCCCACCTCTTCTATTTATCAAATATAAAAAAAAATATATAAAAAAAAGCTTCAGTATTATTCCCCGACACTCACGCAGTTTTTATCTTCTGCCAGTGGCATACAGTAAAAAAAAAAAAAAAAAAAAGCTTCCATATGTCTTGCAAGGAACGGTGACCGTAGGATCGGAAGGAAAGGGTTCACACCTTGGTATGGTCTTCGAATCTTCTTGTTGTACGGCCTGCAGCCAAGTCCCAAAGGCGTAGAGTTTTGTCCCATGATCCGGACAACGCGTAGTTGCCATCAGACGACAATACTACGTCGCTGATGAAATGAGAATGACCGTACAACCGTTTCTGGGGTATACCGTAATTAGCTTCGTCGCGCGTTAATTTCCATACAATAAGAGTCTTGTCTACAAACGAAAACATATAAAATAGTAATATCTATCATAGTTTTATTCATCCAAAGATCGTTGCGTGCCGCGCGCAAAATGTTCGAGCGGCATTTTTCCGGCCGATAGATAAGCAAACTAGACACGAATCTAAAACGTAATACGCGAATAAAGAACGAATACTTTGGAAATATGAATGGAAATTGACTAGAAATATATCGTGTGAAACGATGTAGTAACGCTTAGAGGCGTACGAAGGGATGAGGTTTATTAGACGAAACAACGATATGTTGTAATTACACTTACCACGTGAAGAGGAGAGTATCATATCCGGATATTTCGGATTTGTCGCAATTTGGGTGACCCATCCATTGTGCCCCCGAAGTGTACCTCTTAGCTGAAGCGTTTCAGTCATTTTACAACTATCTTAAATTAATTTTTAGCTTGGATTACAACAGATTACGACCCGAGTTCCACATTCGACGATGCGTTGAACGAAAAGAACGATCCACCTCCCCCTTTTCGAACACGTCTATAGTCATGATATATATAAGTAACAGATGTACGACTCGTATCCTGTAACATATNTACGTCGCTGATGAAATGAGAATGACCGTACAACCGTTTCTGGGGTATACCGTAATTAGCTTCGTCGCGCGTTAATTTCCATACAATAAGAGTCTTGTCTACAAACGAAAACATATAAAATAGTAATATCTATCATAGTTTTATTCATCCAAAGATCGTTGCGTGCCGCGCGCAAAATGTTCGAGCGGCATTTTTCCGGCCGATAGATAAGCAAACTAGACACGAATCTAAAACGTAATACGCGAATAAAGAACGAATACTTTGGAAATATGAATGGAAATTGACTAGAAATATATCGTGTGAAACGATGTAGTAACGCTTAGAGGCGTACGAAGGGATGAGGTTTATTAGACGAAACAACGATATGTTGTAATTACACTTACCACGTGAAGAGGAGAGTATCATATCCGGATATTTCGGATTTGTCGCAATTTGGGTGACCCATCCATTGTGCCCCCGAAGTGTACCTCTTAGCTGAAGCGTTTCAGTCATTTTACAACTATCTTAAATTAATTTTTAGCTTGGATTACAACAGATTACGACCCGAGTTCCACATTCGACGATGCGTTGAACGAAAAGAACGATCCACCTCCCCCTTTTCGAACACGTCTATAGTCATGATATATATAAGTAACAGATGTACGACTCGTATCCTGTAACATATAAATGAGAACCCTCTTTAAAAAAACAGGCATATTTTATTAACATAAATTTAAACGAATCATTATATTTCTCGTAATTAAAATAAACCGTAAATTAAAGACCTAGTTTAATAAAAATATTAAAAAACGAACACGTTTCATGAAAACGTGCAATGTTAGTGGCACACGCATCGCCACGCACAGTGCGATAGAACGAATTAAAAGTAAACAAGCTCAATAAATATCTGTACTACAGGATACACAAAAATATAAATAAATTAATATTAACTACAAAATAATGGCTGGGAAACAAGGAAAAGATTTAGCATTGTCGATGCTACGAACATTGCCAAGATTATGTTTAAATAACATTCGAGACAATCCCGGCGCAAGGAAGCCTGTAAGTATTACATATCTAACAATAATTTAAGTTTTTAACATAATTATTTAACAGTCCAAACGTGGTCGGGGACAACACGGTGGTGACAAACACGGAGCTGGTAACAAGGGATCGGGTCAACGGCAGAACTATATGAGAACTGGATACGAGACTGGGAATACTCCGTTCTATCTTAGATTCACTCGGGAACCGTATTATAAAGGACATCAGTAAATCCTTACTTTCATTCATCACTAATCCCTTTCACGAAGTACAATACTCATAAAGTATTCTTTTTTTTCAAGTACAGTTTAAGGAGAGAGTATCCTCCTTTATCTCTACAAACGTTGCAAATGCTCGTCGATTTAAATAGGGTCGATGTATCTAAACCTGTGGATCTTGTATCGCTACTCAATACAGGAATATATAATATTAAAGTAGAACATAAGCACGCTGGTGTACATCTTACAGACGAGGTACTGGAGTTAAAAACCATAAATCTAATTCTACCCTTATCTGCTATAAAAGATTTGCAATTTCGAAGGGTGCTGATACTTTCAAAGCGAAGCTAAATATAGAAGTTCAATGGGCCAGCGAACCCGTAATCGCAGCAATTGAGAGGAACGGTGGTACTATTACTACCGCCTATTACGACACTCATTGCATATTCGCATTGGTGGACGTAGATAAATTTTTCACCACAGGTAAATGTTATGAATACATTTTACTGAATCGCGTAATGACTGATATTTTATTTAGGAGAACCGATACCACGTAGGATGATGCCACCAACGGATTGCTTAGAATATTACATGAGCGCGGCAACGAGAGGATACTTGGCAGATCCTGAACAAGTTTCTAAAGAACGCTTAGTTCTAGCTCAGAAATATGGTTACGAGCTACCGAAGATCGAAGAGGATCCAGATTACGAAATGCTCATGGAACGTAAAGATCCTAGGCAATTATTTTACGGACTTGAACCTGGCTGGGTGGTCAGTCTTAAGGACAGAGCTATACTCAAACCGAAAGCTGATTACCTTAAAGAGTTTTACGCTAGTTAAATTATTGTAGAATGTACATTTGGTAAATAAAAATATGTTACGAACAAAATTCAATGATTTACTCGGTTCCCATTGCTAATAAAATATGAAACACATAACTGTGAAAGTATTTGAAGTATGCCATCGATCCAATGTATTTTAACAGTATATATTTACGTAAACATGTACATTGTATGTACGTGTATTTCCGGTTAGACTAACCTGAATATCTGGCATTTTTTATACGGACGTAATGTAAGAAGAAAAGTGTGTCAAAGTCAGTGACCTCGTTACCGGCTAGTAGACAACAGTACGCTATACGCTCCACGATGGTACAGTACCAGTGGAATGGCTTTCCGTGACGGTTAGCACGATTTACCTTTTCCGCTTGACATTTCACCTAAATCACCGGTTTGGAAATGGCATATCGAATGGAGTCGGAAAAGGATTATGAAGTCGTGTTAAAAAGTTTGGTCGCTGGTGGTATGTTGATCTGTCACTTTAAATTTAAGCACAGTGCTATCCCTATTTTCTTGTTGTACAATTAAAGTTAAATGAATGATTGTCAACCCTCGTGAAACGTTACACGCTTTCGTTAACATCATGGAAATTTACTAATATTTCAATAATTCACTGTCAGTGTTCGTGAACTGTTTTACAATCTTTTTTTTCTCAGACTACGTCGTGCAACGTTTTACGTGCTAGATTTAACGATAATAGTCAAAAAATGATAATATTAATGTTAATATTCTGTAGGAATCGCTGGTATGTGTTCAAAATCGACAGTGGCCCCGTTGGATAGGATAAAAATATTATTGCAGGCCCACAACAAACATTACAAACACTTGGGTAAAGAGAATTCGAGATCCCACGAAGAAATATTAATAGATCATGTATAAATTCACATTGAAACAGCTGTGATTGTTGCAGGTGTGTTTTCTGGACTGAAGGAAGTGATCCACCGCGAACGATTTTTAGCTCTTTACAAAGGGAACTTTGCTCAAATGATTAGAATTTTCCCATATGCTGCGACTCAATTTAGTACCTTTGAATTTTACAAAAAGGTAATTATCAATCAAATTCAATGGTTCGTACTGTTTAAAAAATAATTGCAATCTGTTCTGGGTAATGGTTCCACAGTGTGAAGTAACCGTTATTAATATAAAGACAATGCTCATAGTTTAAAGGTGAGCCTTAGAAATACAGATTTTTTTTTTGGATTTATGTATGCAGACGCATAAATGTATCAGCTGCGTAATTTATAGTTAGGGGAGATGATTGATATACCCTTGGTAGAAGAGTTAAACGAGACAGGCGAACTTATGCATTCTACAACTTTCATTTTTGTCTCAGTATTTAGCAGAAGTCTGTGGCGAACAGAATCATATTGATAAATTTTTGGCTGGATCTGCTGCTGGAGTTACAGCGGTCACATTGACCTACCCGTTGGACATTATTAGAGCTCGGCTCGCTTTCCAAGTTACCGGAGAACACATTTACGTAGGAATCATACATGCAGCTATCTCGATTTTTAAAAATGTAAGCATCAACGTCTTAAATTCGTCTCTTTCTATCAATTTGTTGTAAAAAGTATCAATCTGATGCAATTCAGTATTGCATGCGTCGAGTGCAAAACATGTTTTCCTGAACTTTGAATTCTTTTTTTACTAAGATAATTAATACAAACGTCAACGCAAACGGTATTTTCTAAAAATGAATTTAAAACAGTTTATTAATTCACTTTTCAGGAAGGCGGTTTTCGAGCGTTGTATAGAGGCTTTTTGCCAACTATTTTTGGCATGATTCCGTATGCAGGATTTTCATTTTACTCGTTTGAGAAGCTTAAATATTTGTGCATGAAGTATGCATCGAGCTATTTTTGTGAAACATGTGATAGAAACACTGGTATGATTAACATGAGATCTTACTATTTAAAACATATGCAAAGTGGTAGCTAAAAATTATACCAAGTCCATTAGAATTGATAACTTGCATTAATGGGCAACGAAATATCTGCCTGATAATTCTGTATCTCTCTTTGTTCATGTGTTCGAAGTTCTAGTCATCGTTATAATGACGATTGATAAAAGTAGAAACGTTGATAATTACAGGCGGTCTAGTTTTAACAACTACAGCCAGATTATTGTGCGGTGGTATCGCAGGCGCTGTTGCTCAAAGTTTTTCTTACCCATTAGACGTCACGAGAAGGCGAATGCAATTAGGCATGATGAATCATGCACATGCGCACAACTACAGGTGAATAGAAATCAAATCCTACGTTGTAATAAAAGGAAGATAGTTTCGCTAATGATTTATTACGCGATACTTAATTATAATCTGATTTCTTTTCAGCCCTAGCATGTTAAAGACTATGAAAATTATATATAAAGAAAACGGCATCGTGAAAGGTCTGTATCGTGGGATGAGTATCAATTATTTACGGGCCATTCCTATGGTATCAGTTAGTTTCACGATGTACGAGATTATGAAACAGATACTTAGACTCGACACGGGAATGAAATTGTAATTTACTGACTCGGGAGAGAGACGCATATATTTTTCCATGTTCCAATTTTTTATACCTTAACTTATAATTGGTAGAATATAATTAATGTTAAAATTTGTTCGCACAATTGTTCCAAGTACAAATACTGTTTCAGTTTTATATTTCCGATATATAGAAATGCCGTTCACTTTCCTAATCTACTTCGTATTTATTTAACGAGAACGATTGCACGTGTGCAATCACGAGTCTTATAAGTATGGGAAACAGACATTTTCTTTTTTTTTTTATACATAATTCGTAAGATTACCTTGTATACTTTGATCGTTACGTTCGACGAGTGAACAATTGCATTTATAGACATAAGTTTTATATGTAGCGTTGACCAAACGTTCCAGGAACGCTTTTCGTAGGAGATACGTGAAAATAAAAATAGAAACCTGAAAGTTGTGATACAATAGTATATCGTTGTTGATGATAATAATATATTAGAATTCTATCGACCCGAAACACACCGTTTTTGTACATAGCGAATGATACTCATAATGGAGATGGACATTGTAAAAGAATGTATATAACGATAAAATTAGGCACTGTAATATCAGGTCTGTAAATGGTTTATAAATAAATTATTTCTTTTCTAATGAAAACGTTTCGGTCAATGAAATAATCATACGTATCGTATAAGAGTGGTCTGGTTTCATTTTAAATGTTTATTTCTTGATCAACCGCTTATATATATATCCTTCAAGTATTTCTAATTGTTATTCGACACGATTTACCTTTATCGTCCTAAAACTTATTCTTTAAATATACTCATTAATCTTAATACCGATAATTCAATCCTGCTCGTCGTACGTGTAAAAAAAGTTACAAGATTTGAAATGCTATAACATTTCTTTATTTCTCTAATTTCCAGACAGACAATGTATCGATTCATAGCATACCGTTCCGTCTTCAGCCTCGGCAAATATCTGTCTGAACACAGAATTCCCAACTTAACTCAACGTCTCGTTAACTTAAACATTTTCAAGAGGTGTTACATAGATAAAATTCGAAATCAGGGAAGCATACTGAAAATGAAAACCAATTGCACACACATAACTTACGATTCCTTGAACCATCCTTTTATGATCGATATAAAATGTTGTAAAAGAGATATTGTAAAAAATATTACTTGAAATTGATATATACAATGTGGCTGCGTTATGAATATAACAATTATATGTACACACGTAGAATCTGATCGTGTTCATCTGAATTTATGTACATGATAAATTATCTTTTAGACCTTAATTTGAATTTATGCATGTGCATTGGTGATTGATCGAGTCAGCCTCGAACGAAAACGCGTCCTAATTCAATAACAACGTTAAAAGAATCTGCAGGTAAATACATACGCGTAGACGTCGACGTTCAATGCCGTAATTGGATTGATATAGGTAGAGAAACGTAAAACGTTCGTACGCGGTTCTTAATATTAAAGGAAAGTGCTTTTACTCTAAGTCACATTGTCTACTGATGAGTTCACCAAACGAGAAGGTAATTGTAACAGTTTAAGAGCTAAGAAATTTATTAACCGATACCGAACTTGATCCGTTGTGAATATCCCTTGAGAAGATAATAAATAGAGCAGATATAAAATTAACTATATAGATTCTAAGACCTATTATCGATTTTTCTCGGAAAGAACGGAACCATGGATTCATCTGTTCCTCTTAGAATACTACGATTCATTTATTTTTCTATGTAGGGAAATTTGATCCTCATTTCCTTCGTAACTCAGAAAACCTGTTTAACATATAAAAGCAAAATGAGGAGGAGAAAGAAAATGCTTAGCCCCTGCAACGGTGCAGAATAAATTTGCTATATCCAGAATTATTACGGTTCGTGTGTGCTATGTTTACATTTACAGTCTTAGTAAATTGCTATACTGTGCATCTATACATTTTTTCTCTTATTTTCATCGCTTTATTGCTCTTCTACTGTATCGTTTCATTATGCGTATATTCAAATTATATGCCTTACTCCTAGGGAACGATGTATCCCGCGGATACATCGTTGTATACAGTGTCCTGTCTCCTGTGTATGTTCCACGATTATGAATGATTTGACACAACACATTTAATTCATTTAACTTGCATTACACATGTTTATTTACCAGAAGCATCATTTTATATCTATTTAATTAGTAAAAAAGTCGTCGGTAGGTTCACAAGCAATTAACTTTCAATTTAATGATCGTGAATGCATGAATTCATTCAGTATAAAGTGTGTGTTGTTTCACTCAGGAAGTTTTCACAGGATTGATGCAAAAGTCTCGCTCCTACTCTCACCCCCCGGATATCCCCTCTACTCCGTTTTATTCTTAAATTATAAAACCTTAGACGTGATCGTGTATCTTGTATAATGATATAAACATTTAAAAACTGTGTCTACGCGCGCGGGTCTCAAGAAATAAAAAATAAGCGACGAACGTAACTGGAATAAAATATATGAGAAGGAATGGAAATTACTGCTGAGCCTGCACTAAATCATTTTTTTTTTCTCATGACGGTTATAAAAATATTACTTATAAGAATCGTGTGTGTCTGTGTCTGTGTCTGTTCGGTATCTTATTGTTAAAACATCGTATTAGTAAAGACGAGCGAAATTATTAACTGTTATGATTCTGATGAAGTGTTATGTGTAATGCTATACGCTATAACCGTTCGGTAAAGAAATTCGCTAAACAATTTAATCGAATTCGTGTTTATATGGCACAATTCCCGTATGCCGAATCTACTGTTGCATCAACCCTCCTCAGATTTCCTCCAGGTGGAACATTGCATGCTCCATTCACACGAATATATGTGACACTCTCTTAAATATAAATTATACGATCATTGTCTGGTGTACCCCGTTGAAACCTCGGGCAACGATATCGTTTTCGTTATCGAGCAACGATTGATCTTGTTCGTGAATACAACAGAGCTTCCTCGTTGCTCGAGGTCTCGAAACGATACCACGAGACATTTTTGTTCACGCTAGGTGTTTTTTTACGTTCGATCCATGTAAGTGTTAACGTTCGATTCGTTTCTCCCGTTTCGTTTCTTTCTGGATAAGAAAAATACAAGCGATACAATGAAAGTTGTAGAACTCAATGCTATACGTGAATTTTAATCGGTACGTGTGTACATTATTGTTTGTTTCCTCTTTTCTATTTGTATACAATTAATGTTGTGTCTACATGTAATGGCGTGTCGCACACACGCAGAATACGCGGGTGTACGTGTCTCTCTCTGTGTACGTGTGTGTGTGTGTTCCGTCTCTTAACAAGACACCACAAAGTGAGTCATGATATAATACTTGAGACTATAATGTAATGTGTAAAGATAGCTGGAACCTCACACTTTTATTGATGTTCTATCATAAATTATGTTCAGTGGCATCGCTATAAAGCCTGAATCAGTTTTCCGTACCCCTACCTTAATAATTAATTCTCTGGGGTTTGCCTCTTTACAAGAAGTAGTCTGGTGTCCGCCTGGTAACGTGTGGCTCACCGCGTCTCGGAGCTGGGTCGAACTGAAGGCTGAAAACACCGAGAAAGTAATTATTCCCGTTTACGAGATCTCTGTCCGTGATTCGATTGATAGAAACTTACAACGAATATTTTAAAGCATCGTCTAATTCCATGATCGCAGCTTGATTTCCACAGCGATAGCAGTAATTGGGTGCTGAGAATATAGTTACGACGTTACGATCGTGACACCTGTAACGACGAAGACGAACAGATGCAACGAGAGGCAATAATGCTCGTAACGAAGAAAGAACGCTATGCAGAAATAGGGTAGACGATAAGTGAGAAAATTTGAATAAATATACCAATTGTAACCCTCCATAACTAATTGATGCGCTCGTGACACTAATGTCAGGCCATTAGAATGATTGAAAGTCTCTGAAATATCCTGTCCAAAAGTGTACCCTGCCCCGCGAGGAGAGATGCCCCATCCTCCTCTGTCGTCCGGATCTGACCACAAGAGATCGCACATGGGTCCCTGTAACGGCACGAACGATGTTTCATACGTTCACAATTTCTGTTCGAAAACAGTGACAGAAAACTGACCTCGTGCGGTACTTCCTGAAGACGGTCGAGGGCACGTATGTGATCTAAAGTGTCGATCGATGGTGACAAACCACCGTGTAAACAGAATATCTGACCGTCCACCAACGCAGTCAGCGGCAAATAGTCAAACAAATCCGTGAAAAATTTCCATACGTTGGCGTTCCCGTATTTACGTAAACATTCATCGTAAAATCCATATACTTGTGTAATTTGTCTGGATTCGTGATTGCCGCGCAGAATAGTTATTCTTTCTCGGTACCTGACCTATCGGGCCAACATTTTATTGGATAAATGACACTGGGAGACCGTGAGGTCAACTAAGCACTCGATCAACACAACGTGTATGTATCCTAATAAGAAACTAATTACATACATCTGTTGCAAAAACTTTACCTTCAACGCGACAAGCAAAGTAACAGTTTCAACTGAATAATAGCCACGGTCTACATAGTCGCCCATAAAAAGATAATTTGTATCTGGAGATTTGCCTCCTATTCTGAACAGTTCCATCAGATCATGGAACTGCCCGTGAACGTCTCCACATACTGTTACAGGACATTTTACTTCTTGTACGTTCGATTCTTTAGCTAAGATTTCTTTTGCCTGAAAAGGAGAATCAGCTATCATGTACAACGACGTCGGGACGTTTCTCTTTAGATTTTTCTAACAGATATCGATGGAGTTCTTGGATACATAAATTTCAGATTGAGGAATATTTGTTAGGGCTAGGATTTAATTGTAAGATGAAATGTACATGGCTCTTCTTTTCGTTCTCATGCTTCTGTTTCTTCTCGCGAGGAACGGAAGAGAAAGGAATAAAGGAATATGAATTTACAGTGACTAAAGAGAGGGAGATAACAGATGTAATACTGGATATCTCAGATGAATCATAAAATGATAACACTGTTGATTAGTGAGATTTGCATGAGAGATAAAAATATTTCTATCAATGGCAATGATATTCAAATGAACAGAACGATAAATAATACCATAAACAATCGATACATCAGAAAATAAGATTAAAATTATGACCTTTTGTTTGAACCATGAGATATTTTTAATAAATCATATGACACTTGATTAATCATAATCAAAATCGCAAACAAAATATTTATGAATATATGAAGACGAATAATTAGTCTAGCTGCGAGCATCGTAGATAACATTAATGTTTATCGTGATCATTTTTATACCGGATGTGCACTTATTTTTAGATATTTAATTTTAATTACTGGATATCATAATCGTAAAAAGGCATATCTTAGATAATACGTTGATCGATCTTGTTTAGTTAGAATTTAGCATTTACTGGTTGCACGAGCGTCTATGTATTTCGAAAAAGGAAGCGGCCGAATGATATAACTCTAACGTAACATTACAGGTGTTTCGGATATATCAAACAAAGTGAGAATTAATCGAAATGCATCCCGTTACGTGCCGGAAGGTGCCTCGTACGGAAGATAAAAATAGGATCGTCTAAGTAACGATTTGACAAGTTTGCTAGATTTTTCAAAGAACGAACAGATTCTAGTTGATGGTTGAACGGTAACGAGAGGACGAGTTTACGTAGCGTCCGATCGTGATCGGGGCAGATCGCACGTCGAATTGTTGCAAGCGTTACGAACGTAACGAGATCGTCGAACACGAATTATCGATACCTTTTTTTCTACGACATGCAATAAGATATTCAAACGTATCACGATGAAGTTTGTAATGACACGTCAATCATGCTCGATAGTTCGGTAAGAGGTATACAACGAATAAAAAGCAGATGGTGATACGAGCCGACGGGATTAATTAAGGGAAAGGCGTAGACCTGTCCGGTTTATTGAGACGGTTAGAAAAATCGTAATGGTAAACGAAGTTCAACGGATAGAATACCTTCTCGCACAGAGATTTTACTTGGCTTTCTGTTAGTTGTTGGCAGTCGTTTAATTGTCCTATCCACTGGTCAAGCTCCTTCAACGATGCTTTTTCCTCCATCGTACGGATCAATGTGAGGTTTACGGACAACCCGCACTCTTAGCACATGTAATAAAAGTAAAACGAGTCCGTCTTGTGAACTAAATCATTCGGTTTTACTGGAAACGCTTGTTAACACAAATATCTCGATCCAGCACACACTCACAAAATGGCCGACCGCGAACACTGACGGTGACGTCACACTCAATTCATGCGTGCTTCGCCGAACTATATGTATAACCTGGATTATCACGCTGGCCAATCACCTTCCACTTTTATCCTGTTCCCACCAATCCCATGCCTATTTTCTCTTATCGCGCGTATATATGTATGTTACATCTATTCTACTCCTTTACACAAAAATACAACTATGACTGCATCATATTAAACGACAAACAATTACGTTTCTCCCTGACAGACCGGGGTCCTGCGATGACGTGTATTGTATGATAAGATATTTGATTAAAAATATGATTGTTCCCCGCAATATCTGTCCTGACTTGCCAGATTCGTCGGGTATTTAACGTCCCATTGTGCGTCCGACTGTTTTGCATCGATTGCACTTGTTCCCGTTACCAACACCGTGGCGATTTCAAATTCGGAGAACGCGTGATGTTAAAAAATAAGTAATTAATCATGTCGAATGCAGTTAGCTAGGAAAAAAGAATATGTCTATCGATGACTCACGTAAACCTAGATTTAGCCCTGACCAAGTCGAGGCAATCGATTTAAGAACCTACCAAATTAACAGGAAATAGTTTTGCAAATTGTTCTCTGCGTTTCATTATTATCTTCCTGATATTTCTTTTACTTTCCTGACTTTTCGTTATATTGAAAGTAATTACGAAATGAAACATGCGATAACGAAATTTGCTATGTTTAAATACTCTAAGAGTACGAGTCGCTTCAGCAAGTACATTTATATAATCTTGATATATTTCACATGTACATATCAGTAAGCATAAAATTACATTTTCAAATGTGTAACGCTATGTATATAATGGAAGAGAATATTCGCATATAAAATCAATTGCAAAGGAAACGGTGTCTCAATTTACTTACATTATTTTGCTTGACGAGTGTTTAACGAAAGATAAAAAGATATCCTCAATTTAACTATTGTCAGATAAAATTATGCAGAGACAGGGGGAACGGATCAGGTTTCGATTTAAAATTATAGAAGTTCGTCGTAAAATATTGACATATTAGTAATAGACGTGACAACTCGGTGTTTGTGTCGATTCTTTGAGAACTTCGTTCTCACTTAATGTAACTTTGCCATTCACGTAATTATCGGTAAATTGTAAAGTGTAAAATGTAAAAAAGGGGAATGCACTCTTTATCGAAATGTAATTCTGTCGCACCTCTCTCGTTCGAAAGGTCGATCGTATATTTCTAATCTCTTTACTGAAAATAATATTCCTTTTTGAGCAATTCTAAAAATACGTAAGCGACAATATCAGTATACTTCAAAATATTGTTATAAAGTGATCGTCGTAGAAATTATGTTGTCTATCTGCAAAGTGTCGCGTCTAGTTGGACAAGCCATGGCAGCAATAATTTGATTTTCCTTCTGTAATTTGGATCTTTGGCAACGGGATTGTGTTCTAAATAAACAGTCTGTAATTTCTTGTTAAGCGCTAAATTCTCGACGGTTGTCCATTCTTCAATCTCGTTATTGTTTATCTGAAGAGAGAATTAAAATGTTAAGTAAGATCCACGTGAATTCGTAAAACTCTTCTTACCCATAACTCTTCTAAGTTTTCTAGATGATCGACATTCGTTATCTTTTTTATTTTATTATTTGCCACATCCAGCGTGGTTAATTTTGGACAGTTCGACAATCCTTCGACACAAGTAATTCCATTTTCAGATATATACAACTGGTCCAGGTTCTTTAGCTCCTCCAAGTTCTCTATTTTTGTAATTCTATTACTTTGGAGACTTAACAACTGGAGATTCTGTAGATGCTCCAGATTTTCGATTTTCGTTATTTTGTTTTTACCAAGAAACAGGCTAGTTAAATTCTCAAGACCTTCAAGATTTACTATCTGCCTTATTTTGTTATCACCCAGTTCTAGAGTCGTGAGCTTCTTCAAATGCGACACGTTCTCGATTGACTGAATCTTGTTCGACGAGAGGAACAATTTTTGCAAGTTTCCCAAGTTCTCTAAACCCTCTATTTTCTTAATTCGATTGAAAGATATGTCTAGCAGTCTAGAAACAATAATTTCTTATTAAAATTCTTCTGAATTCACGTTTACGATTAAAAACAATCTTGTTACATACTCCAGATTCACGAGAGCATCCAAATTCTCTATAGTAACAATTTGATTGTCCCTTAATTCCAACTCGACCAAAGTTGTAAGGGTATCAAGGTTCTCGATCTTCTTAATCAGATTCCACGTAAAACACAGTCTATGTATTTTCCTCAACGGTTCCAAGTTCTCTAACTTGGTCAATCTCGAGTGATTGAAATCAAGTTCCTGACGCACACAAGGACACGTGTGATTCACATGTAATTCGTTAAATGTGATTCTTACTGAAAATATATACAAACTTCACTGTCTGGATCAATGATGAGAATTTTCTCTGGCTCTTCGTTCTCATTATTCGCATTCTCATTCTCCTCCTCGACTTCAGCCGAACCTTCACTCTTGTTATCTTCTAAAACATTTGAAATATAACCCAAAGATGCAAGTATATTTTCAAACAGAACTGCGGTTTTCTTATTGATCTATTCGACGCTAGTAATTTACCATTGTTTGCCATTATCGTATGATAAGATTAAATGATATTAACAACAGAATCGGCTCGGACTGTAAGACTGCGTGAGAAATATTAATTAATGCGCCCATAAAATTGAATCAAATGGAAAAACCAGTCACTTTACTATCAGATCGAACACTCATCGAATTGTATATAAAACTGTACACAATGTACTTTACTATTGCACTTGTACATACACTATGTATATGTGTTTGCAATAGTGAATTGTTCTATCGCGCAAAAGATAATTAAATCATTGCACGAGATCTGTTTTTAAGTTCCTGGTGTGTTCTATATTATTACTCCCTTACTTACAGCTGCACAATTATTGTTCGAATTGAAAATGGTTTGAAGGAATACAGAATAAATATTAAATCATTTATAGTATCGAAGTCCTCTTTTAGAAAATAGAATTTTGTAGAGTAAGAAACGAGAGTCTAGGGAGGTTTAAATGTCGAGTTCAAGACGTACGATTTAAATTACTTAGAATAGTGGTTAACTAGAATTTCTAAATAGCATAACGTGTCGAGGGATAGATAAAAATTAAAGGAATTATTATTTTATCGTAGTGAGAATGATGGGAATAAAAAATTACAACAATTGTATATCTTATTGATGAGTACTCCCTTTTATATATCATTGCCGCGTCCATGACTTTGATCCAGTAGTCTAGTGAAGATGGCCGAAAACAATGGCAGTGGTTATTGAGCTAACTTTCGGTTCCCCTTGTATACTTGTCAACAAAGAAGTTATCTTTAATTAAAAAAGTAACTGAGCCACATAACATAATCACACGTGAGTACGATTTTCGTCCTGCTCGTTGCCGCTGCGAGAAATATCAATCTTCTCATTTAATACCACGATCGTTTTAATGCTACGAGAGACAGGAATCATCCTATTCATCTTTTGTCTGTCAGTCACCTCGTATCTCGTCAGTGAGATCATTTCAAACCTTGTTCGACGCGTTCAAAATACATTTTGTCCGAACCTATTCGACGGGGAGGTCGTCGCGTGTTCCTTGAACGATCCTGCCCTTTAAATAGTTTCCGCACTCGCACCACTTTTTAATTGTATATTAAGTCGATGATCGTTTCAAGGAATTATTTGGGGAAGTCCCTTTGTCACATGAACATTTCTTTATATACTGTCGAAAGGACGTATGCTTTGTACATCCTCCGATGTATGTGAAATGTTATCAATAACGATTTTATATGAGATATTATTAATTATTTCCCGGGAGACCGTTCCACGTGAGAGTGAATTAGTGTTCATCGGAAATAGGTTTCTCTTATTGCTTTTATAAAGTCTTCTAAGGTTTATCATCATTCAATGAACGAGATGCTGAAATTGTATCCCAATCTGTAGATCTATGATTAAAGTTAATTCACCTGCTGTACTTTGTATCAAATCGTATAGTTCTGAGCAGAATTGATTTTGAAAAGTACCAGCAGAAATTCATGTCTCTGCTTAACAAGCAAGCAATGGAATCTTCAATTATAATCACATTTTAAATCGTACTATGAAATATGGTATTACACTCAGTAACATATTTCCATTGATGTAGATTTTAATATAAAATTGATTGAAAGCAATGGAAAGAGGATGACTGTATGTTATTGTTTCTAGGTATATATTATGGCAACTGCTATTCAAAAGAATGGCATGAAAACTTTAACGAATACGTCGATAAACCGTGTAGACGATGTGAATAAGTTGAACGATTCAGGGAAATGTAAAGAGGAGAAGGCTGAGAGGATATACGATTGTCAGATGATCCAACCTTATATGGAGCCTCCTGAACAAGAGCCTCGCGAATTGGACATAGTTATCAATAATGTAGTTTGTAGCTTCAGTGTTAGGTGTCATCTAAATTTAAGAGAGATCGCACTAAATGGATCTAATGTGGAATATAGGAGGGAGAATGGGGTACGTTCCAAATTATTCTACTCTTTCCGTTTTATGTTTCTTATATTGTGTATCGATCGTAAATACGTTTATACGTGTTTTATATTGATTTAAGTTTAATTTTCGTTCGATCTTGTATTATATGTACTATATTTTTATTTGTAAACATGATATTGGTATTTAAAATTAATAAAAGAGAGTGCAGGTGAACAGAACAATTTCTGCTTGCTTACACTTTTACTTTTAATCTCTCATTTGTTACTATTTAAATATTATCATTCTGGGTTTAATAAAGCAACTCTCCCTGATATCATACATAGAATCCATTATCCAAAATCTTATATGTACGTATACAACAAATATCTAGTTCAGATTGTATAATTTAAATTATAATTCGAGGACGTAGAGTATCTATATACACTGAAGATATTAGAAAACTACCCAGGATGTTAGTTTTGTGTTGAAGTCAGTATCCAACTTCGAAAGTTCGTCTATAGAGACGTGATTTCTGTACACTCGAGATATGGACGAATGTTACAGATGATAACTATGAAATTAAGAAGACCTTATACTACCGCTTCTATATGGTCCTCTGGCAAAGTAACGTGTACCGGTGCGACCAGCGAGGTTCAAGCGAAGATCGCTGCTCGCCGATTTGCTCGCTCGCTTCAGAAGCTCGGGTTCAAAGTACGATTCAACAATTACCGAGTGGTCAACGTATTGGGCACTTGCTGTATGCCGTTCGCGATCAAAATCACGTCGTTCTCATCATGTCACAAAGAGCACGCGGAGTGAGTATACCAACGGCATCGTCTACACGCGGTCACTCAGTTTGTAACATGATTCGTGTAACGTTTGTTGTGTTTAGCTACGAGCCAGAGTTGCATCCTGGTGTCACGTATAAACTAAGAGAACCGAAAGCAACGTTGAAAATATTTTCTACAGGAAGCGTTACCGTAACAGGTTTGTAATAGCGTTCGATATTAATCGGGGGATAGAGAATGAAAATTTGCAGAGGAACGAATTTTGCAGCTCCGAACGTTGCCGCTGTCCAGGCCGCAATCGAACACATTTACCCACTAGTCTATGAATTCCGTAAGGAGAGGTCGGAGGAAGATGAGCTTGCCTTAACAACGAAGAAACGTAGAATGGGAATAAGTAAACGAAATCGTAATAAGTTCCTAAATGATCCAGATTATATATACGATACGGTATTCTCGGACGAGGAGGAGGAGGAAGAGGAGGTTGAGGTCGAGACCGACGCTAGCTGGGACTGAGCTCGTTTCATTGCTGCCCTTCTGTTAATTGTGAAACTGTTACACCTTACATTATTTCTCGTTCTCGAGAACGTGAGAGACGAAAAAAGAGATAGGTACACACTGGTTTGTGCGGAAGGAAGTATAGGCAGAAGTGTTATTGCAAAGAGTGTAGTGAAGCAGTCGGTTTCTCTTACAGTCAGTGGAAAGACAGTGTGTGAGTGGTAGAGACACTTGGATCACGTTGTCGTCATCGCGCTAACATCGTATCGACCGAACTGAATTTCATCATTGATCATTTTATTAATGTTACGTGTATGTACATAGATAGATACTAGGTACTCGTATGTATCTGTGTGCATATAGGTGTTAGGCATAAAATTTAATGTTACACTCATATTCATTTTGTTTAGGAAATGATTTCCCGACACTTTGTTTAATCATTTTTATCTACTATTTTTTTTTTTTGGTTCCCTTTATTTTGACAGAGCATATCTCGTGTTTAAGTAATTAAGGACAGTACCGATGGGAACTTGTACTGTACCCATGCTCCTATGTAATTTAGATAATGAATTGATACATGCCGGCTAAGATTTTTTTCATTGTGTATCAACGCATTATGCACCGAAGTATTTCGACAGCGATGGAACGTACATAGATTCTCGCTGTCCTTTGTTTTACTTCTTTCTACACATACAGGTGTAATCTATATTTTTTTTTTTGCTTAATTAATATACTGTGCCAAAGATGGATGTTCAAAATTTGAGGCAAAGCGATCAAACTGACGTCTACGAAGCTAAAACATCTATTCCTAAACGACAATTAATCCTCGTGTTACAATAGACATGAAAATGAATTTCCAGAAATCTGACATCGAACAAGTTCGCCTGATGTTCTTAGATTTGAAAATCCTTAGAAAACTTGTTTGAACGAATGAATTTAACGTTTAACGTTATTTCTGTCTATTCGCATCGGATATATTTATACGCAATAGAAAATTAATTAAATACCCAAGATTCGACTTTTACTAGTTAGATTTAACGACATTCTGCGGATCCAGCTTCGAATCGAATTTTAGAATAATTTGTCAGTTAAATCTCTCGTCTCTATAACAAAGAAATATGCGTAAGGAGTGAAACTGAGAATGTGTTTCATGTTATTTTTCGACGATTGCAGAAAATGATTAGAGAGTAGGGTAGATATCATGTTTTACTTATCATTTCTCTTATATATTAATCATCAACGTGTAAGATCTTGATCATCCTATTTATTTGTCACCTGCAGTATCCTCATGACTATCAGTGCATTTGGATTTTGTTACGTGTTGCATTAGCGTGTTACATTGTCGTACACAGCTTGACGAATGATTATTATTATAATTCATTTGCGAGAAATAGTCCGATTGATATCTCATCGCGCGCTCTAATTACGAAAAGCTTGACTGACACAAGGCTAATCCTTTAATCATTCTGTTTACTACGAAACGATCGTGCGTATGCAAAATTTTATACAATTAGCTTAAGCGAAAATTGAAGTAAAAAAAAAAGAAAAATCATGTTTCGATTACATTCTAATTGTTTAAGCGCAGTAGTGTGGAATTTACGTAGACCATATATTGTAAATAAATCGAGTTATCCGATTACCCAGGACTCGTACGCGATCAGCTGTATACTTTGCTAAGCGAGAATCCGCGTACTCGGTATAATTGTTGTTACTAATCATGTGCATCCTTAATGATTCTTCTTTGTATCATAAGTATGTGTATGCGAAATGCAAAAGAAAAAAACCCTCGATCGGCAATACATTTGAATATCGAGACGAAAGTCAATCTGTACCTCGTGCCATACAATACAAGATACCGTTTCACCCGTTCGTACGCTAATCGTAAGTTCTGTTGAATTTTCATTGTTTATCACGTCGACCTATTCATTGCTCATCGAACAATTTTTCATTACGAAGCTCTGATCACTGCCTTTAGTAATATTAAAACCGCAAAACGATTCGAATTCGATGAAATATACATGGCAAGAGAAAAACACTTTAATTATAACGCACATAATAAATTCTAATTAGCGGTGGAGAAAAAAAGAATTCTTTTTACAAACATTACAATAACAATGATTCGATCGCAGTGAAATAACTTTCTGAAATAAACGTCTCGCAAATGTACGATTGTATGCATGGAGTACAGAAGTATTTACTTTTTATATACGGAGTTATAAGTTTAAATGTAATTATATGATTAGAGATCATATCATTTTTTGGATGGCGTAAACGCTTCAGACGGAATCCACATTTTACTTGGAATAACTAAAATAAACAAAGATTATTTATATGTATTCCTTCTTTATACATTTTCATTCGGAATCATGACTGCTGAACATGTTAATTCTCTCGTTAACGTACGAGAGCCCTCTCTATCTATCGTTTAACTATTTTTAATTTTTTTATATTAATAATCTGTCGGAGCATACATACTGTTCTTTCTTTCGTGTCAGATGAAATTGTATCTAATGTCAAGGCGAAACTGCAGTGATGTATCACACTGGATTTAAATTAAGTCACAGATGAATAAATATGATTGAATGCATTGACTGCCAATCAGACTATAACTGCTGCTACTACTATTACTACTACTACTACTAACTACTATTATTAACGTTACTACTACTACTATTTATTACTCTAATTCTATTTTAATATTCAGAACAAATGCGTTTGAAGATCTTTTCCATTTTCATGACAATAAGGGATCTATCATTACTGTTAACACGTTAAGCGTTACGTCGAGCCCAGGAACTGCTATAAATAAAGAAATAAATTATGTAGTTTTAATGAATTTGTTAAAACATTCAAAGATATGGTTTGACTTTTATCACAGAAAGTGACGACTTTTTTGGTCAAATTTCTGACTGTGGAATAAAATCGTCACTACAATATATGTTTTATTCTATGCAATGCCTGAACGGAAAGCTCAGCAAAATTGGCTCCGTGCTTAACGTGTTAATCAAATATTTATTTGGCCCTCGCTATATTCCCACGAACGATAAAATATTCCAAACGCCGGAGTGGCATTGCCCCTATAAAAAAGAATGATGTACACTTTTACCAAATATGCTAGACACATGGCTATTTCATTTTTCTTTGGATACAATCACATTCCAGGCCTGTCGATACTACCTTTCTAGTCTCAGAACAAATGTACGTACACCAAAGACAGTTTAGGACAGCATGTTATGATTTAAAATAGTAATAGGTAACGCGAATATATTGCTCAAGAGTGATTCGATTCTGGCTGCACCACCCGCGGTATCAACAGAAGGCACGTTGCTCGCTAAAAGTGTAGGAGGATTTATCAAAAGATTTTTGGTAGAGGTGAAATCATTCTCTGTCAATTCGTCTACGTAGTTACAATATAAACGATAAATTATTATACGTAAGGCTCTTAGTCTTAATATCTCGGTAATAACTATTTTTATCTAAATAACTAAGAACGAACAAGCTTATTTTCACTACTAACGTGCAAGGCATTTTTACTTGATGATAGATATTAAACGACGCTTCGTATTCGATTTCATTTACAAGATACTGCTTGTGCGTCTACTTCAATGCGACTATTTACCCCCGGATCCAATCGCTATCAACACTCCAACTCTGCTGTACGTACGTAGACCGAAGCAACGTGCATCGTTCGAAAACGATAGAATAACAATTTCATTGAATCCCATTGAATCATTCGCAGGATACTCTACAGAATAGTTCTATGTTCGTATATCCGCGATTATTGCTAACGAACAGAAATCTGATTTAGCTCTTTTTATTTACAAAATTCACGAGCTAAGCCTGCGAGCTCTCCGACGCACCATCAGTAGTGATAGTATCGTATGTACATGTTATACGTGTATCGTTTAAAAGTAGCTATAAAGTGTATCTAGTACAAAAGAGAAGCGTTATATTGATAGCGAGCCTCATTTAGAAGCAATGTGTATGTTAGATGTTAAGCGAGAGAGCAAGAGTAAAACGAAGAATATGTAAAAAAAAGAAGGGAACTAAGAAAATATATAAGGTTTATAAGGAACGAGCTCGAGGTATTCAATAGGATTTATATGTAACTTTTCCTTAGAAAAATACGTATATTGAAGACTGTTAAATGGATTGTACATGAAAGTTTGAATGTAAATCAGAGAAAATAAAAGATAAGGATTAATTTCCATTTACTTATTTTACTAGCAATCGAGCTACTATCAAGCCTCTCGATTTAATCGTTTCTTTGTATAAAAGTAAAAAACTAACAAATCTAAACTTAGAAATAGATACCTGTACATACATACACTTCTTTTTAACTAAATCCTGGTTACCATCACTTTTCAAACGTGGTGAAGAGCCGGAGTATATCAGGATAATAATTGGCGATATATCGTGTGGCGTCCTGTAAATGTATGATTGGTAAAACAAGTAATATTTAATAGTTGTTATATTAATCGTAATTTACCTCTTTTGAGTCGATCTCGATTCCGTTCATACTCAACATACATTTGTATGGTAAAATAGCACAGTGATTAGTGATGTTCAGAAGACAATTCAACTGATAGGATCTTAAATCTTCCATCACTTCTTTTGAAATATTATTCAAGAAGTACCTCTTACTACGTGTTTTGAATACCTGGACATACGTTTATATTTATAATATTAGTAAGACTGATCGATTAGATATCGCCTGACTGTAACTGCGTTTACGTACTTCGTCGTGGAACAATGCTTCAACAACATCTTGGATACAGCTAGCTAAATCTATTATAGTTGACTTAACTTGTGCCATTGCATCATCATTCAATGAATACTTGAGGCTTCTATCACGATACCTCAATAATAATTTGCATATCCTTGATAGGATCGCGCAGTTGTTTGTAACGAAAGATCCGTAAATCACTGCGGAGGGTGCCAAAGTAAAAAATGAGTTTCTACTGTGGCTTTCCAGTATACAAATTTGTTCGTAAAACGACAACGCTTCCGAAAGTAATAAAATATTGTACGAATGTATATTTAAGCCTGAGACGATTAGATCTTGAGCGGCTTTCATAAGAATTGGAATGATTTCTTCTAAATTAGTCATTGGAGCCTGTCCTAAAAACGGTATTTGCTGGCACTGTTCTCCAAATGCTTCACTGACAAACAAATTCGTGAGTAATCCTTTCAGTGATCTGATAATCTCACATTTCCCAGTCACAGACGATTGATAGAACATACTGCGCAGGTGTATTAATAGATTTTCTTGTAAATCGCTACTAGACACCGAAGTCATCCATTCCATTAAAGCTAATAACTGCGATTGGTATTCTCCCATATTGTGGTAGAGGTATTCATGAATGAAACGATTTACAGTGGGTACGCTCTGCTGCATGTACCGTGAAAATTCTATGGTCATGTCGAGTAACTTATTCGTCTCCTCCGGGGAAACTGTTTCAGGTTCCAATATGAATCCTAAAACGAGACGTTCATTTCTTTTCTTGTCAGTAGATACTAACAGACGAATGAATTGATAGAAACGTACCGGTTTGCAAAGTGCAGTAGAGATTAAAAGCGAATCTACTTTGATATTGAACATTAGCAAACGTAAGAAGATGATGCCCTGCGGTGTTAGATAAAAGTGACACAGCGCTGGACGGCAGTTTCACGCTCAAATGCAATTTACCCAGGTCTTCGAGACTGAAACATTTCACTTAGAAATAATACGAATCCAGATAAATCATCGTGATATTAAAATCGTCTATTCACCTGGTGATATCAAAAATTGATCTTGTATCCTGTTCTTCAAAGATATTAGAACCGACTTGAAAGTATCCTACGGACGGTAGCAACGGCGCTACATTTTTCTTAGTTTTTTTCAACTACAAAAATGAAACACATTCAATTTACGCGTGAACGACTACTGCAATTATTTTTTATATTACTTGAAACGTGTTCCAATTAAAGCATTTCTTGTCTTCCGTCAGCGAGACTTCCGACCGAGCTCTAACATTTTCTAATAATGATTGTAAAGCTTCGGGTATGTCTCTCCATACGCTCCCTATGTTTACAGACTGAATTCTCTCAGGTACTAATTCAGGTTTATACGATTTAAATAATCTAAAATGAATCACGAAGTTATATCGAATTATTTTGAATTGAAACATTTTGAAAGGCGAGGGACTCACGAGAGTAGGGCAGTGAAATGATTCAGAGATCTCACGCTTTGCTGCTGAACAGCTAATAATCTAGATACATCTCTACGTGTCACGTCTTCTGGTTTTGCTAATATATAAACAAGACGCGCTATGTGTTTCCCCTGTAATAATGCACATTACTCATTCATTTCTGTTATACCATTAACGTTGCTTCAATAGCAAGCAACAACTTATTGAAATGCACAGTGTACTTACTACTCTTTCTTTCTTTAGCATCACGTGAAAAAATACATAGTAATATATATTAACTACTTTTCTATCTACCAAGTGATGATCCAGTATACCTAAAAGCAAATATACTGTTTTGTTTTCTGTCTTGTACTCAGTTATACTATATTTTAATTAAAAGTAACATTACCAATTATCCACTGTATAACTATAGTGGACACATTAACAGATAATTCGTAGATACGTGCCAGAACCCAAGCAATGATCGATTTAACTGTGTCTTCCGGTACTTTGTACTTTGGAACTAGGCACATTATTAAAGGTACCAATCGATTAGCACCTATTAAATACATCTTATGATTTATACTTTCCACAGAGAATAGTTACGATTCATTTTTTTATATACAGAGTACAATTACCCATATCAACAGTCATGATAACATCTGCTAATTCATTAATATCCTCATCTTCCAGCCCATTGGAAGCAACATAGTTCTTTAATATACTAAATGACTCGTCGAATTTGGGGTACTTCTTCCCTTTTCCTAAACGATGAATGCAAGTTTGAAATTATTTGTAATGCTCGTCAGATTGGGATTATCAAGTTATTTACCTTTCAAATCACGTAAAAATTGCTTACAAATTTTTCTCTCATCTTTCGACATTTTTACGACGATTAATTTCCTTTAGGAGGATATTCAGAAATTCCTCTGTAACTTCATATAAAAAATGGTGTAAATTACTATTTTTCGATCACGGCTCACTAATATTCATAACTATCCACAAATAAATATGTTCCTGGCCCGGCATATGATGCCGCCAAAAAATTACGGACGTTGGAACCTAACCTAAGAATACGACGAACATTAAAATATTCAGTTCGTCTTTCTTGTAAATGACGACGATACCTACATGATTTGCTTAGTACATGTTTCTCCCTCTTCAATAATTAATAAATAATCAAATAATTCTGAATCTTAAGTCTAGCCAGACTTCTCTACGAGATCGAGTGTATTCGTCTGTTTCTATGACAACGCTTGCCTGAGCGTCATGATGACTGCTGTCGAGATATTCTCGAGCTCTGTTTATTTTAAGTATAAAAGCAGAATATGTTCCATAAACTTTGTTGTCGTACTATTTTTAAGGATTTTATCATTGCTTACACCGTTCTTTATTATTTACAATGCGGGAGGTATCAATACTTTAATATTAATTACAGTTAATAACTAACAGAGAGGGAATTCCTCTGTCTACTAAATTGTTACAACTCTTTTCTAGGTTTTTCCTTAAAAAATCGACTGTATACAGAAAAACCTGATGTATCGTTTAACTATAAATATCTATTGTTAGCAAATAAAAATTACAACCAGAATCCTGTGGTTTGTTCAACGTTTACAACATATAAGAACAATGAAATTAAGGATAACTGTGTACTGATCAAGGTTTTACTGCTGTATTATTATATCTCAATCTACCGATTGGATGCAGTTTGTTTCAAATGTATACTACTGTTTAAAAATTGTAGGTTCAAGAGATAGATACGAACAGTGATGGTAAAAAGGATATTTTAAAGTTCGAAGCCCATTTTTATACAGACGAACCCATACGATCTCTGAAGCTTTTATTATTCTTCAATTTTCAATTAAAGGTAGAATACCTTTATTAATATTCCTTCACTAATTTTCGTTATTTATGATGATCTTAATTCGACAGAGATTGTTTGAGGCAAACATCGAATCCATTGCTCTTTTTTCTAACACGTTAGACGGCGAGGTACAAAATGTAGTATTTTATGGTGACTTGATATTAGAACAGAAAGGGCTCCTTACCAGCGAGGGTTTATACGAAACATATAATCACAGCTTAGAATTAGGCGATCGTTCTTTAGATGAACTTCTACTACAGAGTTTTAATCGTAAATGTTAGTAGAACTTGAATACATCAGTTCTTTTAAATTAAGGACTGTGAAACTATGTATGTTCATTTCAGTTGCAGTTAAAATAAGCAACGAATACGTGACGAAACAGCTGGGTGATTTGAATGAAAGTGCGGTGATCGTTAAAGCAGAATTAATTTACAGGGAATATTTGATTTATTATCAGCCTAGTTTCTGGGAAGAGTTGAAATGGGCATGGGTCCAGTATCTGTCATGTTTCCTCGTTTTCGCCTATCTAACAAAACATATTCTCATTTTCTTATTCTCAAATAGGTACCTAAACTCATACGTTGTACTGCCATGGAAAACCAAATGATTAAACGAATTAAAACTACTTCCCATACGTTTTTGATATGTAGAATTATCCTTATATATTTTCAGTCCATCTTTTCATGTGCCCTTAAAACGCTAGAAGCACCGAGACTCTAAAGATTCAATATTATAATATAATCGTCCTTGTTACATCCTAGATTGTATAAATCGCACACTTTAGATAAGCGTTTCAATTTACGGTTGCTCAGTTACAATCTATTTCTACATAATTCAATATCTACTGATATCCAATGTGTAATAGATGGGATCGATATTCAGATAAATCTGTTTGAATTCGGCAGGGCCGCCGTTCGTATAAATTTCTATCATAGACTCTCATTTGTTCTTCTTAAAGCGCGCGAACGAGTCCTTTACGCTAGCGAGTTTTTAAAGGGAAAGTATGATACATATATTCTAGAATTAACAACTGACTAAATCATCGTTAGTTTTTAGTCCCTATTGAATTAATGATCTCGTGAACTGATTGTGAGACCAGAATTCGAAAAATATTTTTCAGAAACATTTTACGTCCGATACCGACTATTGTATCTCGTTTTAAATCTATTTCGATTAGAAGAGGGATGCTTCGGGTGCAAGCAGGTGATAGCATTGATTAAGACGGCCCTGGCCAGCGGAGCAACCCTTCTGAACTACGCGCTCGGCCAGTTCAATGAGGGTGGAGACTGCGCCCTGTTACCGTACCGGAACCCGTAACGTTCCACTCGTCGTGCCCGTCGCACTCTCGACACACGGTTCCCCCGTGAATTATTTAGCGCGACAGCGCGAGAATCGGTGAGTGTTACGCGTCAGTGTCCACTTAAGATGATACGCAAACAATCGAGAGCGTCGGAACGGAGGAGCCCGTGATCGCTAAGAGAAACAGGGGTAAGTGGTGCGAAATAATACTTAGACCCTGCTGCGTGGATGCTGTCACGATGCGACGGCGTTCACTGAACCTTCCACCGGATACCTTTTTTTCTAACGATCCTCTTCTCTAAGATAGAAATCGAGAAATGTGCGAAACTTCTTGTTACTCTTTGAAGATTCTATCCCTCGTCGAGGGTGGCAAGGGCCTTACCAGTTTCATAGAATTTCTTGTTGAGAGTCAGCAAACGTGACGAAACGTTCTACATATTCTGATGAATTATACATAGCAGTGGATGCATATATCTGCCTCCGTTTATAAACTGTCGATCAAAAATAACAATGGATTTATATTATGAATAATAGACGACTACGCTCGGTCGCAGTATCTAGGAAAATTATTATCCGATAGGAAACTATATTTATCTTGAAGAGAAACGTGTTCGATATCGTACTGGATAACACGATCAATTATGATTGACTAGTGTATTAAAAGTATACCAGAAGAGCCATGTCCACGAGGTCCAAGGAGAAGGTCGTGGCCGCTTTCCGAAAGTTGTTTCGATCGTCGGAGAAGATCTCGGAGCAAGACGGAGCGAGCAGCTCGACGAGTTCACCTTCGAGGAGGCTTCTCAGCCGGCATCATCGCCCGGACGCTGTTACTCCGGCCGACGGGTCGGATAATTTAGGCGCCGGCAATTCAAACCACGGGAGTTGCTTCTTCAAAACAAAGAAATCGACCGGAAGTTCCACGCAGGTATTTTATACAGACCACTACGCGCGGTTTCCCTGCTTCGAATATTATTCATAACTTCCTACGAGGCGTATTACCGTAAAAAGTAAGGAGACTCGTCGCTTACTCTCTAAGCTTCATAACTTCGGGATACTAAGTTCTTGTTGCTTTCGCTGAAGCCACATATTGCTGCATGAGGTATCCGTAGTTTCCTAATGAAGAGAGTTCCTCAAGCGTTACTTTTTAACGAATCCGCTCAATTTTCTTTTATCCTAACAATTAAAAGAACATGGGAAACATTAAATTAAGAAATACAAGACTCATTTAAATATAAGAATTTACAAATTTGGGAAGAAATGCTTTGCCAGACTGTGGATTAATTTAGGGAACGGGACAGGCCGGTGTTCCGGACAAGAGAGTTAATTTGCGCCGGTTGATGAAGGAGCTCAGCGAGATTCAGAAGACGCAGCATCGGCGCGAGTCAACCTTCACTGCGGAGCTGGTTAACGACAATCTGTTCGAGTGGCACGTGAGACTGCACAAAATCGATCCGGAGAGCGAGCTGGCTGCCGACATGAGAGAGCTCAATATACCTTACATACTTCTGCACGTAGTCTTCCCAGAGAACTTCCCGTTCGCGCCTCCGTTCATGCGTGTAATCTCGCCGAGGATCGAGAAAGGATTCGTGATGGAAGGCGGTGCAATTTGCATGGAGCTCCTCACGCCTAGAGGATGGGCAAGCGCGTATACTATCGAAGCTGTTATCACACAATTCGCGGCTAGCATCGTCAAAGGCCAGGTGAGCATTTCTCAATTCCTATGCAGTATATGTATACATATGTACGATCCACTGGGACGTGTTAGCAGGAATGCAGATTCTGCAAAATACACAAAAGAGAACTCAGTTTATAAAGAACTTGGGCTTATATATATTTCAGGGTCGCGTGACTAGGAAACCAAAGACGAAAAAAGACGTGCCGTTTAACAGACGTTCAGCCGAGGAATCGTTCAGAAGTTTAGTAAAAACTCACGAGAAGTACGGATGGGTGACGCCACCCCTTGCGGAGGGCTAGTCATTGGGATCTCCGAAAAGGAGGACTTCGTTGCTATTTATAGTTACACAAAGGTTTTGTATCTGACTAGATCGTCAATATCATTACCTATTCTTTCCGGGCGACAATATAATTGCATTTTAATTGCATTACGATGCTTTCGTGAACGGGGAAAACGGGTGCAATATCTGAGGAAGAAACGACGACGATGGTTGAGGTTGATAGTTAGAAGAGTTAGACGGAGTCTAATGAGTCTTTAGAATGCATTGATTCGGTTGAAATGAATAACGTTCGAGGCTCAATTATCAAGGCGTTAGTAGGTCGCTTAACGGTTTCATAGCGAGTTATGAAATTGATATGAACAATTGTAATGCACGTATCACAGTGATGAATTTTATAAGTCTTATACGATTATCGATAAATATTTGTAAGTATTTTTGTTAAACTGTTATGAATGAACGTCTTTCACTCGTCGATCTTCTTTTTTCCCATTTAGAATATTATAGCGAGTATAACGATTATAGTGTAATAAAAACGATTGAGCTTTCATTGCGGTGATTTATGTTAAAGACTAAGGTGAATTACGTTCGAACGTAATAGTTAGGGAATGTTCACGTAAACGTAAAACTATGCGAAATTTACTATTAACATGGTATTTGTGATAGAGGAAAAATTTAGTCTTTCGATTATCGCAGTAATTCACTTGTCTGGAACTTCCATTACCTTGAAAACGAGATGCCACGAGTCGTGCATAAATTTTTATATTACCACGATTGAAATTTGTAAAAAAGAACCATAGAAATAAGTTGGATTCTTATTATGCAGCCAATTTTCGACATAGTACAATATATACAATAATAAATAATTTCCAAAATTAAGATTATTCTATTGTGTATGGATACGTAAAATATTCTGTATTGTAAATTAATGCAAATATATATATATATATATACACATCATATATATATATGCGTACATTGCCGTATTCAACATTTTTTATTTATTGCATTATATATAAATAAAATCTGTTGCATCGTCATGCTTATTGTTACAATATTCGTTGCTGTGTTATTTCTACACACTTTTTCCCATGATACTTTCGATTAACTTCGATCTTCAAAATGTTACTAACAAGATTTATCGTATTTTATATCATTCGTGTATAATAATTGATGCTCTATCAAGTATTTCGTAACTAGTTCCGAACACATGATTGTTTTAGGAGTTTCCATTGCTATATGCACGGCGCACATTATCAAGGCACATGCTATCAGTCGATCATACAGTTTTCACTCGTAATTGATCGTATATTGAAACAATAAATATTATTTCGTCATATTTCTCCCACGTGGACAGAATTCAGGTCTTCCTTAAACGCTATATATTTTCTAAATTAAATATACGTAGTTAAAATCATGACTGTGGATATTGACGCGTTCTTAATAAAAAATACAGAAAGCCAGGAAGGTGATGTGAATTTCGATTCCAGTCGAAAGTTATTTAAAATGCATAAACATCCGCAGCAACGTTCTTAAAAAAAAAGGCTGGTGAAATTAAAAACGATTATACACACGATTACTAAATTTGCGCAGTATTGTGATGTATAAAATATCGTCTTTTTTTTAAATCTACGTTTCTCTTTATATCCTATAAAATATTTCGTAACACACTGTGCGCTAGTTACAGTTCAATTTTCCTAGTTTTTAAATGCATAATTTGACCAGACGTGTCGTGTACGTTAGCGCGAACATTAATTAATAAATAAAGAGAGTTCGCTGTTAGTACCGACTCGTTATAAAACGTTCTCTGTGATAATCGGATATATCAACGAAATTTTTAATTCTAAATGAATTATTTCTTTACTAGTCTATCGACTAACTTATTGACAAATGGAATCGAGAAGTGCGGCAGACAATAGATTACTATCACTGAGTTACCCTCGACTTATTGAGCTGAACAAGGTAGTCTATCGATATAGAAATCACGATAAATAATTGATAATCGTTCCGTGTGCATGTATATACAATTAAATAGTTTAAATACGTTGTACACTTACGCTACTTATATTACATTTATTATGCGTATGAATTCCTATGCTTCAGCTGTACTCTGCAATTCAGAATCTCCATTATGACTTATTAAAAATGTTTGATAACATTTTTCAACGCAGGATACGACCAAGTTTCGAACAGGTTTCTATGCGTCAATGAATCGAGTGCGATCTAGTTCAAATTAATTATAATAATATATACCTATCGTATATACGCGTTTGCAACTCTGCATTCTTACGATTTTACGCATAAGCATTATCTATAAGATGCAATGAACAGCCTTGTAACTAATTCTAGTAGACATTTTATAAACTTTCAAGAAGTCAGAGTCTATCGTTCTTCAACGTACGAGCAATATGCTGCAGTTAGGTAATCGTCGTGTCAAATTGGTAGAAAAAGTTAAAAAAATCTATCGATTGACAGAATTCACAAAAATACGATCAAGTGATTCGATCGTTTATATTCTGAATCGACATTCCTTGAATAATGATTGTTATTATACTCCCTCGGAATGTTGCGCTGAATTTTATTTGAAACTAGACTAGATGAAGAATTACCTGCTGTTCGTAATCCGTCTTCTGCTCTCCACCAATTGCCAGAGTTTATAGACAGACGAATCGACGAGTTTATGCGGCACTGACACATTCGTACAAATTTTTATATAAAAACTATACATTACGGTAAAAAGGCCACTTAGTCATCAATCCCTCTTTTCTTCTTGCACGCACATGAATAATTTCGCACAAACCATGTTAAAATCATCTGTGGAAAGTACATAAACTTGTAATAGACGTTCGTAGAATATTGATTAATTTCATCATCGGTGTAACGACGTACAGTGAAAGGAATTTTATTAATTGCCTACAGACAGAGAACTGTAGTTACTTACGAGACGATTTCACGAGCCATTTCGGTTTCTGTTGCCAATAAATAAAGATCCAATACATGGGAATGCCTGATAAGATGATGATCACTCCGATGCCGACTTCCCATGGCGACACATAACAAGGCAACGTTACCAAGAAGGCGCAGATTATGAAGAATATAATAGGTAACACGATCGAGACCTTCAACAAAAATTACAATCAACAGAATTTCGGAAGAAACTTTTCCTTAACAGAAAGAACGACTATTTACAGTATTCGCTGGTGTAAAAAATCTCTTTATTCTAAACAGGAAAGCATTGTTTAATGTACTGTAAAATTGGTAAAAGGAAAGTAGCTATTTGCTAAAGCTTTTAATAGGATGACAGAGAAAAATATGAACAGTTTGCATAACTTTGATTCTGCGATATAAAAAATAAGATTCGCTGCTGGCATGTGACAGTACGGGAACCGGTTGAACAAGCGCGGTAGTTAAGTACTTATTTTACTATCACGAGAAGAGAACTGTGTCACGCCGAGAACAAATCGTTCGAAGCTTCTTATCATAGGTAAATATTTGAGGCAAACGATATTTAAACACTTTTCAATATTGTTCCGTTTTTCGTTTCCAGCTCCGTGCAATAAAAATAAAAACGAAATCCTTTCTACAGAAGCGTCTAATGTGTCCCTAATTTTTTTTTTTACGTACCTTTATAGGTCGTTCACGCTCAGGACTTTTGTAGCGAAGCCAGAGGAGACCAGACACCGAGAGCGTAGTGAATAGTGCTTCAACGAAGCTGACATAATTGATTAGCACATAGACATCCTCTATGATCAAAAGTGCCAGGGTGATAATGCACTAGAAACGGAAATTATAGTTTAACGCTTGAGCCACTGTTCGAGCGCGGCAGTGGAAACAAGAAATTAACCATCTATATTTTATCATTCCTTTTATACTCGTATAATTAATCAATCCTGATTTCCATGAAACGTCACCTCATATCTACTATCAATTCACTAAACGTACAATTAATTAATCAGTACGAATATCACGGTCGATTTAATTTAAAATTTGAATAACTAAATTACTCCTGGTTCAAAGGACTGCCGTTTTATTGATGATCAAAGGGATCGTTAACGGGATGAAAAGCCTCGATTTACTGCTCTCAATTAGTAGCCGTACATCAAAATGATAGGTGCGCACCACGTCATAAAGAAACCTAATCATATCTACGTTTTCCTATTACAATCGACCGATTAATAAAATATTTCAATTTGATTCACTTAATACTTAATAGTATAGATTTTTCGTATCTTCGAAATCGGATTTAGATTTAATCTTTAACTTTGAAGCGTTTCAAATCTCAGGGCTATCAATATGATATCATAAATAAATAGTACTTGCGATAAACGCTTAGTCGTCCATTAGTCCACGTGTATCAATCGTTTTATCATTTACATAACTATTAAGTTAGCAACGAATTTTCTCCTTAAGCGTTAAACAGCGATAATAAACTGCGATGTAACAACTCACAAGGAAAATGAGCGATGGCATAGGAGTCAAGTTTTGCACGTTGATAAGCGCAATCGCCATGGGCAAGTGTCCGTTGCGGGCGCCTACGAAAAACAATCGGGATGATGCGAAAATTGCTCCGTTCAATGCCCCGAAGGTTGAACAGGCCACGAAGAACGGCATTATCCAAGACATCACGCCTAACAGCTTATCGCCAAACGTCTGATGAACAAACGAGGAATTAAAAAACGTTATTTCCAGACTGTAAATCGTTAGTTATTATACACCTGATTATTTACGTTTGCTATAAATGATCTATTAGTATTATTGAGTATGGAAATTTAGTAAATTAAGCAAATACAGTAAGCAATAACTGAGTCAACTAATAATAAAATAATGTAAGCATATTTCTCACATGCAAATGAAAGAACAATTAAATAAAACTGAAATAAACAAACTGAAGAAAAAAAAAACTTACAACAGCGACAGCGTTCGACGCGAGAATTTCGTCTTGTGTTAACACTACAAAATACGCAACGTTCGCCAGGACATAAATCACGGTCACCAACGGCAATGATATGCAAATTGCCTTTGGTAAATTTCTGTAAAAACGACAATTAAACATTACATACCTAAATACTTGCACGGCTCAGGTATATATTATTGTTTAAGATCCAGCGAACATTGGAATGAAATGATCTTTGGATGACTGGCAAATACGATTTCATTCATGATTTAAATATAAACTGTATAAAGATCAGTCACCGATGAGCCAAATTTGCTCCGTTTCAAATTTAACTGCCAGCTCTCCATTTACAAAAGTCTTTGTTGCGACGATATACGAAAGTTTTCCTTTCACAAACGAGAACAATGTTCGATTAAATTCTAATCCAATATAGAGACGATTTCAAAGGAACTCGTATTCAAAACGACTTAATCATATAAAAAAAAGAATGATGATAAATTACTTGTAAGGATCTTTCAGTTCCTCGGTAACGAAATTCAAATAATTCCATCCGGAATAAGAGAAGAGGCCGGAGTAAATGGCCAAGGCGATGTAACCGGGTTGAGTATTGGTCCCATCCATGGGATGGCGAAAATTTTCCGTGTGGCCCATGCAGAGCCAAGCCAGGCCGGCGACCATAATGATTACCAACGCGAAAACCTTGGTCCCCGTGAAAATGTCTTGCACCCTGGTGGCCCATTTCACGTTGTAACAGTTAATAGCGGTCAATAAACCTGCGAGCAGCAATTTATGTTTCCTCCTTTTTACTTCGATTACATTTCCCGCTCGTATGTACATGCATCGTCAATCAAAACAAGCATAATATTATTCATACGATTGATTGAAAGGTGAAAATATTTGAAGAAGAGTTAAAAATATCACAATCAATTGCATGACACGGTTCGATAACAGGATTGTGCCAGTATAAATCAGTCCTAGAGTGTGCATCGTTCTATGGACCCGACACTTGTGAAGAATCGAGAGCGGTGAGTTTCCAAGTATGTATAAACGAATTCAGTTGGACTATCGATCTCAAATAAATTATTGAGCGATCAGTTTTAATTAAAGATTGTAGCATTCGTATAAACTCTAAGAACGTACTCGCGTACCTGGGAGCAATAGTGATTCAGACAAAATTATTCGAACGGAGAATAAAGAAAAATAAGTAGAATTCTTTAGACTAGCCGAGGCTTATCAAAATGAGTCAGTGGGACATTCCTCACTCTCGATGGCACTGAACGTACATATTAAGAAACGTCGGCTTACCAAATACAGGGAATCACAAATTGCGACACGATGCATTCAACGAGATTGAGTTAAATACACATGTTAAGATATATATCTATTTCAAACTATTATACATTATTTTTAAAAAAAGAAACTCGAACCATGCATAAATACGAAGCGTTGAAATACGTTTAAAATGTCTTTTTTATCATATCTTCATGTCTGTTAACGTTACGACTTAAAGAAATTCGAAGATACCACCGATTACGAGAAATGTGTTAGAGGTGGAGTAGATAAAGTCTAGTTGTATTATCAAAGAATAACAAAGTTAATTAATTCCCTGATGGTTATTGACACGACAAATCCACACTCGATCATTAATTACAAGAATACATAATCCCGATATTGACTTCAATTCCAACCTTTCTTTCTTACACAATCTTGTATCTATTTAACAAGGGAACAAAAATATCAGATAACGAGACTGATAACCGTACCCAAAAATTCTTAAAAATGCGTTGTTTGCACAAATATAAATAAAAATGCCATTGATAAAAAATGATAGCATGCAAGTACTCTCAATAATAAGAAAAGTCCGTGGAGAACTTCAGCCACCCACATTTATATGAACAATCGTATTTAGCTTAAAAATTGTAAGCTAACTAATTCTAATAATATTCTTACATGTAATGACCGCGGCGAGTAACCGAACCGCTGCGTAGGGAGGTACGCAACCGGGCCAAACTGGTTGAAGGATGTATTGTGCGAACGTTAGGGCTGTGATCGCGTTCCCAGTTGGGACCAGGATGAACAATGCGACCCAGAGGTAAAGGAAGGCCGGTAAGGGTCCGAAAGCGTCGCTAATGTAAGCATAATCCCCGCCGGACTTCGGGATCATGGTACCTGAAAATGCGTTCATATTTCCTTGGATTTTTTCACAATAACGAAATATTTATTCTATAATTGTATAATTCATTAGAATAAACGATAAGGCAATTGTGGATTTTAAATATGAACAGAGAATATCCTTTTACAATTCGAATGCCACGCGAATTCCATAAGAATGCAACATGAATTAATTATAATTAGTCGTGAGAAGATATGCAGATAGATTATGAAACGGAAAATCATGGGTCAAGCTGGTTGACGCGTTGCTACGAGCGGGGATTCCAGAGGAGGCGTTCAACGAAATCAGCTGGATTACGTTACAATTAATCGCGTTGGTAATGTAATAAACCATTATTGACCTTTTCTCCCAGAGTTCAGAGTTCGGTTCAGGCGACTGTCGCGTGCCACGCGATTCAGTTACATTAAATTATATATTTCGAGATAAACCACTGTTTACTGAATATCGAGAAAACCGACAATAAAACGGCAAACAATGCCCGTTAAGGACATTGTTACAGCGTGACAGAAATATGGATAAGATATTTTCACATTCTGATAAGTTGACACGCGCCGACTATCATATTTCCATGCGGCCACAACAATACATTCGTTGATAGATTACGAGCGTTCCGAATGTCTCAGCATCCTCTTTCGCGGCGTATATCTACACGTGTAACACGATCGTGAAAGATTATATTTTCAAACAAATCCGTCCGTTTCCTCACATTAGATACATATTTGAGAATAGTTTGGCATCAGTTAGAACGCATTCTATGAATACACGTTACACATATACGTACTTCCACGCGATTTTTGATCGTGGGCAGCGCAAGCGTCATTGAACAGAATCAGTGAACTCCCGAGAGTCGACGATAATAAAACACAAACGCTGTGCATCGACTGATTTCTCTGCAAACAACGAATCATCGTATTGACTCATACCAAGCCGAAATTATCGCAACAGTTTTTCTTACCAGATCTCGAATCTGTATTCAAGATTTCCGCGTTTCGAAACAAATTTTCATGTTTATCATCTTTCCACATGATGGAACTGATTTAAACAGAACGCTTGGAAAAGTTTTTCATAGGAGAAAAACGTAGAGGGTTTTACGTTTAATCCAGCATAATGTGTTACGTTCTACGTAGAACGATGAACCAAAAGCGTAATTAGGTCGACCGTAATTGATAAAACGCTTGGAAACTTGTAACAATAACCGGCTGTGTTCTTCGATCGGCGCGAGACAATGCGCTCGGACCCTGGGAAGCAAAGTTCAAACAGATTATTTCGTTTTAATCGAAATTAATTTCCGGTCATTTACTTATCTTCATGATATCTACAGAGAAAGAATATTCAATACAATTTGCTCAAGCTCTACTTGAACATTTACTGTATGAAGTCTTTCAATTTGTGTTAACAGATTATCCCACTGAATACGGTTTCGTTCAACGTATATGAAGAAAACCATATAAGTGAGTTGATATGAGAAAATGATGCTTATTAATTCAGATCTACTCTGATCTTCCTTGTACTTCCGATAATTCGTACATTTCAAGTATAAGACTAGTAGCCAAAACACAATACTATGTAAAGAGCAGATGATTACAAATGATACTTTTACAGACAATGAAGCCGTTATCGTACGTCAAACTTAAGTAGTACAACAAAGCCGGTAAAGTCTTTAATAATCCTTATAATCGTGTCATTAAACTACTGTGCAGGCAAGATACCAAACGTAAACGTCCAAGTGTCACCTCGATAATAATCTATTCATTGCATGATAATGCATTCAGCATGTCACCTACCGCAACTACTTTTTCAACTTGCATATGTTTATCTACGTATGTAACGCTTAACACGTGGCGCTTGAATTGTGTACACGCTTTAGACTCAATAACTGTAAACTTTCTAATGCATTTCTAATAATCAACTAATCATGTAAATAAGAAACTGGAGATAACGAACGTATAATTAAAAAGCGACGAGTTTCTTTCTGTTATCGTTTTAAGCTAATCTTCGAGTTAAGCTAAACTTTCTCGCGTTTTTATTTCTAAGTCGATCGACTTGGGTGAAAGGTGATGATGCAAGAGTTGAAAGGTCTGTCCACAGACGCGTAGCATTCGAATTTCAGCAGCACGTGGTCAATAAAATAAAAACGCGGATGCGTCCGTCCACTTCTGCATTTCTGAACTTACGGGACATTGATCTATATCAATGATCAATGATATTTTCGTAGAAAGCTAGATTAGACATACAAAGAGACTTTAACGTGAGGTACTTTCATCAGGTAGACGCATAGATCATGATGCAACCGTAACGCGGGTGTACCACATGGCAATTATAAATGAAATGTTGAGGATATTCACTGATCAAACCATCTAGTTAACGTATCGTTCTTACCTAATTCCGCGTAGCATAGTGCACCGATCAGAGACAATACCCCGGAGAAGATCCAAACGATCAAAGCCTGGCCGACGCTGCCGCTGTTTCGTAGCACACCTTTTGGAGATACGAATATACCGGCGCCGACGATGATCCCGACGATAATCGCCACACCGTCTAACAGGCCAAGCTCTTTCTTCAATTTCACCGCGTCGTGATCGTCGTCGTCGGCGTCGTTGGCGGTGTTGGCCGTCTTGAGGATTTGCCTCTCGGCCGGCGCGACTTTGTCCGGCATCGTGTGTCTTCTCGTACACGCGGGTAAGTTCACTGGTCACGAGATACCTTCCCGTTAGCAGCCGAAAAAGTACTGAACGGCGGCGAGACGAGCATGTCGGGAGGGAGCGCGAGGCCGGCACACGCCTGAATCTGATGCACGTGTGTAAACGAGCAACGAAGAGGGAAGAAGAGCGCACACCGACAATGTTGACCGCGTGGCTGTAGTTGCCGTTCGCCAGTCACTCGACGGATACACGTGCGTAACTGCCGCGTACCGCGTCCGTATCATGCCCGCAATGGCAATGGTGGCGTCGCCTGTCGACGTCTCATTTCTACCGTTGATAAGTATCAGCTGATATTTAGGAAAACGCGGGAATTCTATGCACTTCGCTCAAAACATCAGCATTGCTAATGTCACATCAGTTCGTCTCACAGACCAGTCGCCGAATTTCAAGATAAATAAATGCTCTTCTTGTACCTTTTAATACAATCCTTCGAGTGCAGAATCTTACTTGATGAAATAACATATGAAACCTTCCTCGTTTTTGTTCATCCTTCGACGATTACATCGTAGATACTGCAATTTTTATCCTTTGTTATTATTAGAAAAGTATAAGAAAATTAAACGTTCTAACTTTACAATTAAAACATGAATCATTTATACTTATTCTTCTCAATTGCGAGGAACTAAAAACCACAATTAAGAATAGATATTGTCAACACGTTATCATGCGCCTTCGCATGTATTGCCTTCATTGTTTGCACGAACATGCATACACTTACATTCCCTAATATGAAAATTTCCACTGTTCACCCGTACTTAACCACCGCGATTAATATAGCACTATCGCGAGTCTGAAAATTGTAACCACACGCGTGTTTCACTGCGCGACTAACGTAAGCGTGAATTTAACATTTTTCTTTCGATTTCAGCACGAAATCGCGAAAAATACGAAAGAAATCAGAAGTTTAATGCAACTGATGTGCTAATGCCACCTACACGGGTCATACTGTGTCTGTTAACACTAACGCGCCGCGTCGAAACTGTTGGAACGAAGCGTCGCATTAGCGTCGACACTGCACGAATTGCAAATTATTTTAAATATAAATTAAGCACCGACCAAAATGTCGAATACCTAAAATAATGCGTGCAAATGTCAAGAATCAATTCAGTATTTCTGACACAATGACAATTTATAATTACACCTTTCCGAACGATTTGTCTCGTTCGTATCATTTAGTTTTCGTAAAAAACTATGTTAAAAATAATATTGGCTTGATTCAGATTCAATAATATAGAATACCTAACTCTTGTACAGTATGGAAAGTAAAAATATTTCGTCGCAAACGAATTTCGTGGTCTACACCAGTGTCCACGTCCGTTACGATGAGTATTGTGCACTTCCTTTCATTTAAAAATCAGGGTATTAACGTTAAATAAACGATAAACGTATGACACTTTCTTTAAACGAACAGTAAAGAAAACTTTTGCTAACATTTGAATTATTTGGAAATCCATGTATTCTACGATATTTTAGAAATTGTAAGTAACGTAAAGCGTTGGAGGGTTTGAGGAATTTCAAGCGCAGTATTGTTCAGTAGGAGTAGTGAAACTCAGGTTTTACTTACGAGATTTGAGGAATTTCTTTCTTATTATTTCTCAATAATTTAAAGACTGGAGTATCGCACGAGCCGCGTACATATATAACAGCAGCCATAGTAGCAGCCAGGTGCGCCCTCTGGGTAGCAGCGAACGTAGTGAATCCTAGAATCCTGATACACATAACCTGTAGTATGAAACACGTGTATCTTCTTCTATAAAGTTCATTTCCTATATTTATAAATGATTTCTCTAACGAACTTGTGCCTCGTATGAATTAAAAATGCAGCACGACGACGTGAGTATATCGGGTGTTCTATTAATTGTCACGAATATTGAGGTTCTTTAAATCTAAATTGCTCTAGGTTGTCTGGAGTGTTATCAACAAATCTTTCTGTTCCTTCAAAGTAAAGTAAGTGAAACTTGAAAATATTACAGACATTAACATATGCATAGCAATAGGAAATTATAATCATATTGTAATATTCCAGCACCAAATCACAAAGGTTTTGTCGTAACGAGTATAATCTTACTGGTCTCTGCAGTAGGGCATCGTGTCCTTTAGCAAATAGTCAATATGCAACTATTCGAGATGAAAATGGAATAATTTATTTGTACATGAGAACAGCAGAAAGGTATAAATCACATTTTTAATAATATTCAATTGAATAGTTTCGTTCGAACATATTTATATTTCTCAGAATACATTTTCCAAAGAATGCGTGGGAGAAGGTGAAACTCTCCAGGAATTTTGAAAAGGCGATACAACAAATCAATGAAAATTTGTTATACTGGCCGGGGTTTATAAAAGCAAAATGCAAACAGAGGTTTATAAAGATTACTCAGTACCTCATACGTATGAGAAAATTGAGATTGAGAAGGCAGAAACAAATTGTACCAATACAAAGGAAGATCGAGAGGAGAGAGAGGAGGAGAGAAGAAAAAGCTCTCGTAGCTGCTAGATTAGAAACTGCGATAGAGAAACAGCTTATGGAAAGATTAAAACAGGGAATGGTACTTATTTTCGTTTTAATTATGTTACGCGTACACGGTTTTCTTAGTTATTCATGGAAGATTATTTTCAGTACAACGATATTTATAATTTCCCACAAAAAGTATTCGACAAAGCTGTGGAAGCTGTCGAAGTGGAAGGTGAAAGTGAGGCTGAGAGCGAAGCCGAGGAGGAGGAAAAGGAGGAAGAGATCGAGAGAGAAGTAGAGCTGGAATTAGAAGCCGACGAAAGGGAGGCAAACACGCCGCATTTCGTAGAAGCAGAGACCGACGAAGAGGATGATGATGATGATGATGATGATGTCGAACAGTTATCTATGGTAATTTCTATAATTTTAATAATAGCTGTATCCTTTTACGTCATTTAATTGCATTCTCTTAACAGGACGAAGACAGTGATTCAGGGAACAAAGAAGAAATTCTATTATCTGATGGATTTGAATCTGAGATAAGCGATATCGAGGTAAGAACTATTAGAATCTTGTTCATTCTTGCAACTACGTTGAACCTAAAATTGATATTATCACAGGACGCGGTACCTTCGACGAGTAAGAAGAATAAGAAACCTATTGTAAAGAAGCGCAAAGTGCTTAAGAAACCTCGACCGAAAGTGGAAATCGAATATGAAATCGAGGACGAAGTACGTGAAAGAGTACGAGCGTAATCGATTCTTACTTAAGATAAATCTAATTGTATTTTGTAATAAAGTTACAAATTGTTTTATAATTTTAAGAACGAGACTTTAGTTGCAGTCACCCAGCCTCTCAAGTTGTAACTTCTAGTAATTATAAAATATATAATTATATACGAACCCTGCGTTTTCGATGGTTCTCGATTTATTCAACGGATCAGAACGGAAAAGGGTACAAAGTTGCCGCCATTACAAAATTGCGCAGAGTATACATATATACATAGGAATCATAGATGGCATTCCTAAAAACAGAAATTCGCAGAATAGCAGACGACACGTTTATATACACAAAGAGCCAGGTAATCATTTCCTCGATTTTCCGCATGAAGATCATAAATGAATATGAACGAATTAATAACTATTGACGAAGCATCGACGTTAACGAACAGTGATTAAATTCGAATACGTAACGGTCGAGAAGTTTAAATGCAGTCGTGCTGTTTATCCTTTACATACATATGCGGGGTTTGGTTCTAGTGCATACTTATCTATAATCTACGATTCGGCATTTTGAACGAGAAATCGTGATACTCGGGCAAGGCCTTAACCCATCCGCTAAACAAATTAACGACGTATCTGTTAAATGCATTATCCGATGGATCCGCGCGTAGATATAACCGCTCAAGCCGCGGAGTAACTTTCGACATCGGTTTCGTGCCAGGCGGGACAACACAACAGTAACAGGGAAACGATGTTCCTTTAACGATTTATCAACGAATCAATGCACGTTCCACGACAAATCGTTTATATTTCAACCGAAGTTCAGTGACTTAATCGTGAATTTCCTGCAGAGGTACATACATACATTACATTCGTATACATATATCGGGTCTCGTAATAAATCGCCTCCAGACACAAATGTCACGAACTTCGTGTTATCCGTGACAGCGTGCCTTTTGTTTGCTATAAATAGAAAAGTAGGTTGTCTTACAAAATCAATCCCGGAAACTGTATAATTGTCTGACTATGTTTAACATTTTTCTCATACATACATCTATCATAAAGAATTTCTTCTGTTCATAATCGTTCCCCGAGATCGCCCCTCTCTATTTCACGATCTCCCCATACCTACCGATCATCCAATAAACAGTGTATAATTCAGTACATAAATAACAAAGATAATTGCTCGTGCACATTCGCCAGATGTGTTAAACAGACTGATAACAATAGAGCTGCAACTGTCACTGTCATGTGACATCGTTGAATATTAAGTGTGTACAGTTCGTCTTTCTGTCATTACAAGATAGTTCTCTATTTGGTTTCAGGTGTATTATGAAAGTGAAAGTGCTGGTACTTCTCTGAACCAGACTGAGAGAAGGGAGAATCCTGATGTAGAAACTAAACTTTGGGACCTTGTATTATATACAATTTCCCATTCATTTACTTTGCGCATAAATGCCGGAGTATTGAATACGTTCATTATGGAGTTGAACAATGTGGGAAACAATAAAAGTTCCGTATACGTGTCGATATCGTTTAAGAAATTATGTTTAGCAACAGTGTCTTTACCTCTGGTTGCGCTTTTAATCTGCTTCGTCACGGCATATATCTTCCAGCAGGATGATATTCATGAAACGCACTGCAGAGTAAGTTCTTATATCTCAGTGTCCTATAGTTATACAATTCCGACTGTTATGTAACATGACGTGTACGTTTGTTCCAGGTTTATAACGTACTTCCATCAATTTCAGCCATCACTGGCGTATCCCCTCAAAGATATTTGTGGCGAATATGCATAGCATTACACCTAGGCCCTCGTTTAATCATCGCTAGTGTATATCATTCGTATTATTATAAAATACTCAAAACAATCGAAGACGTACCTTCCAGAATTAAGGGATGTAGACTTTTAAATTTATGTTACTGGCTGAGTATCGCAGAAGTAGCATCCCTCTGCGGTGTTACGTACATTTCGAACAGAGAAAATTATTGTAAGTACAGCATTCGAGGAACGATCGAGATTCACCAACGATTGGATTATAATAACTAATATTATCTTGCAGCTGTGCATGAGAAGATTTTCATAGCCTTTATGATTAGCTCGTTAACATATATGCTGACCCAGGTGAGATTGTGCCGACTCGTAACGCCAAACGCACGGAGTCTTCGGTACAAGCAAGCGCTTTTTATAACAAGTCTCGTTACTACCGTTGGACTTATCATTTTCTTCCTGAAGCACAGGTTACTGTGCCACGATCTGGGTAAGAGAATTTCTATATTTTAACATTTATTAATTGTAAGCATAGGTGACACTGCCGTTCCTGATATAATATATCTATATATACATGCATATGGTCGAGTGTATTTATGAAATTTTTTTTGTCTTCTCAAATAAATATCCACGAAATTCAGGGTAATTCATAGTTGATGATTGTACGTAGGATTAAGTTCGATGTTATAGATGGAAATGGTCGGAACTCCACGAGACTTACGAATATCTTTTTCCTAACAGCATTTAGCTGGTTTTCCTTATGCGAGTATGTGCTTGGCTCTGCAAATATGGCTTTTCATATAACCGTAATTCTAGACTTTCCCATGGAGCAGCTGGTTGTCGGGAACGGTTTACCCGCCTTAAAGGTGGATTAACTTGTAATATTTTATACTTATTATTATCTTATTGTTGTCATCAAAGTGCCTACTGCCACTGTCTGGAAGTGCTATTGCCAAAGTATAAAAAGTGACATGTTGTATACAACACGTACTGAGTATCCACTGACAAATGAACCGAACGATTCTAACTGAAATAAGTATGCGACGTACGAAATCAAAAGAGTTTCAGGAAAAATCAAATACTCTTAAGAGGAGACTAATGCAAACGGTGCATTGTACCCTGTTTTAATTGACGTTTATTAAAAAAAAAAGTATTTGTCCCGAGGTATATTCGTTCAGACGAACATTATTGTTTACTATGGATTTCCTTTATTTGAAGATTTGTTCTTTGGTGGATACGCAGTTTGGTGCACGTTTTCAATTGATTTGAGTGCGGAAATGGCGCGATGACTTAATAATGAGATACTCGTTTTATCAGTCTTCGACAAATTCGCAAAGTAGCTTTTACGTTAGCGTTTCTCTTTGTCGACGATGATTATTCTTATAAGTACGCTATCCAATCGTTTAACAAGTAACAGCACGATCGAAGGTAAAAATCAAAAGGGAAAAAGTAAAAAAAAAAAATGCAAAAAAAAGAATCTAGCGCTTCCAAAGTATGGCACCGGTATCTTCCCAGGCAATGAGAAAAGAAAACTTCAAATGGCCTTTTAGTTAGTAAAAATTTTGTAGCGATACAGGAGGAATATGTATCCTACATACAAACAATATTATGCATTGTCCACAGTAACGATAATTCATATTTAATTTCTATACTCGTACAGCCGATTTCGGGGGAATACACACAGTTTACCAATAATAACGGGAAGCGACGAATCGTAAATGTTAAATCCGCTTCCATAGGAGTCCTTTATAAATTAACTCTAGTCAATAATTAATTCTAGTCGTTTTACTTGATTTTTTTTCTAATCCATTTCAAGGACGCCACGTTTCCGAACTTCGACTCATTGTTAGCATGTAGGATGCATTTAGATTGTAACGCGTCTTTCGTTTTCGATGAAGGTATGTTCGCGAGATGTGTACTTAGTTTTAATTTAAGTCATCGCAAAAGTATTGTTTCATCGCTGTAACGGGCGAGGTTCCTCGTTTCTCTCAGTGGTCGTCTTGTACTGTGAGCTGCCCCTTTTTTGCTTAGAAATCCTGTACCCTGATTGTGATTTCTTTTGTGCGTTCATCCTCTCGTTCGATCGTCATTGCATCCACTTTTTTTCCATTGTTTTTAGTCACCCTTCATCGTTTTCCTCTGTTTGTAAAAGCCACGGTTCGTCGAGTCTCCTTCGTCATGTCCCTTTACTTTTCCTACGTTGGCATGCGCACATTTTTAATTGACGAGTTCGTTTTTTCGATAAGCTCTTTCGAGGACCACCTCGGGTTTTTCTTCAATCTCCATTTCAGATAAGTTACAAGGATCATCCTTAGGGTTCGACGGATAAAAGTAAGGGTCCCGGTTGTTCCAAGCGTAAAAGGTGGGCTCCTGTAAGGAGAGTCTTAATCCATTAAGATTAAGATTCCTTTACAGTTAGATACAGAGTCGACCGCGTAACAGTGAATCATTGTGACTTCGATCCTCCTCTTCGTTCGGTACAGCTGTAATATCGTTAGCATATTTTATCGCGCCTAAGCAACCGCGAGAGTCGTTATGCGAAACGAGGAGAACAAATGCGACGTAACAGGAACGAAGCAAGGAGTAAGTTACTCGATAATCATTTAATCTTATAGCAATACGTTGTGTTACGTACGATTTAATATCTAAATAGCCGTAGGGTCTTTAAACAATTGGCAGTTAAGTGATCGGGACACGAGGATAGACGTAGATACGCAAACGGAAAATGAAATCGATGATTATCTTGTATTAATACATATATATATTCCCGACCAAACCACGAACGTTACGTCCAAAAACGAAACAAATATATTACGGAGAAAATTAACAAAGTTAATTCAGATGACTGTTTGTAAGAAATTTTATAAACGGGGACTTCATCTTCCTCTTCGAGATACTTGTTAATTAATGTTTCGCGGAAAGAAAGAGCGAGCGAGAGAGAGAGAGAGAGAGAGAGAGAAAGAGAAAGAGCGCCACAAAAAATAATAAAGAAGGATGTTTGTGATAAAGCACTATTATAGTTGAACGTAAATCAGTTTCTTCGATTCCTCAGATGAATTTCAACGCTAAGGGAGAGGTGGTAAATAGACAACCGTTCTATCCTTGCAAATTTTATTTAACATTATGAGGAAATACATATATATATATATATATATATATTTTCATATAACAAACGTTTTTTTCTCGTATTTTTTTAACGTTTTATTTATTAACCATCGATGCGTTTTCGCATGCGTCTACGATTGCACAACCGTATCTTACGTTAATAAACAAAGAGTAATTAAAATAGGGCACGTGTGAAAAATGAAACAGGCATAAATCGCGTATGGTTCCCATCGTTACAAAATACTAAACGTTTGTAATTTGTCGCAGACGAAGTATAAGTATTTGGAGAACGTTGCGAATTAATTTTATTGATACGACGTCGTAGCCCGTGCCAAGTGATATATTAAAGATGCAAATGCGACGCGTGCATCGATCGCATTGGCATCGAATCATCGATGACACACAACAGATTTAAATTGGAATATAAATATGAAATATCTTTAATGAATCACTTGTTTCGCTTAACCATCGCTTCGATCGTTACGGTGACTTTCCTTAGTTTCAATTTTATCTGAATATATCGCAAACGTTGAACGAGCTACTGTATTGCTGCACTACACTGTTATACGTATACACGTATTTTTGTCTTTATAAGACAGTCACGAGCATAGCTTATTTACCTTAAAGTTGTACAGAGTGTTTTAAAGAGGGTAAACGATTTTAGTCTTGTTTGGGAGACGACAATTATCATCGATTCATTCTCGCACGCTGTGTCAAAGCTGATTTTATCGATGAAATTATACGATATTAATTAAATATTTGCTACCGTTGTACGTACAAAACGATCCTTAAGTTCTAACCGTAGGCGTAGGCTAAAAATAATCTCTCAAACAATTCTTCGAAACTCTCTTCTACCCTTGAGACAGCTTATATACATATACGAATGTACGAAATTAAAACGTAAGTACTACATTCGCATAATAAGTAAGCACGTTTTATCAGCCGTTTGTTCACCTCAGTAAGTATGTAATTTGATTTTACGTGAAGCTCGGGTTCACGATAACCGTCGGCATTATGTAAACTCGATTTCTATTCGAGGGGATCGTTCGCGGTCAATAGACGAAGAAATCTAACACGATTTACATATGTAACGCGAGATACCTACGCGAACACATTCGTTTTAATAAGCTTCGTACAATCGAAAGCTGTTGCATAAAACTTTGCCTGAAAAAAAAAAACGATAGATCGACAATACAGTTTCCGAGTGGAACGTAAGGGATTATAATTTATTTATTTTATTCGTTCGACGATTCCTCTGACTTCGTGTCAGAGACTGTGAACATCGACGTGGTCGTTGCCAGAACAGGCGACGATACACGTCGACGAGGTGGAACTCGCGGCAACCTTGACATGTGTCAGAATCTTTATTTAATTGATGTCAGCCATTTGGCACGATGACACTGTCACGAATTAGGCTGAACGTCCCTCCCCCGACGGCGACCACGGGGCGTCGTTCGAGTCGCAGGTTTATTATGTAAAGTAGATGGAAACGGGGCTCTGGAGCAGAGCTGTACGTTACCACCGTTGCTACGATTATAACGATTAGATTAATCGTGTTAATTATATTGTTAAGCGAAACGATGAAACAATGCCACGACACATTTGCACCTTGCTCTTTTCTTACACGTGTACATACGTAATTCATAGCGGATATCCAATGCACACGTACACACGTATACGTACTAACAGACACGCAGGTAGCGACGATAGTTTGTCAGCATAGCGAGAAACAAATTTTTATTGTTGAATCAGGCGAAGCGAATACGGTAATAGAGATTGATTTCAGAATAAAACCAGGCGATAATAAGTCGAAGGGAAATGTTCTAGTCTTACGGAGCGAATAGGCGACGTTAGGAACAGATTTTAGAAATATATACGATTATTATCTCATTCGTTTAATATCTCTAAATTATAGCATGCATGCACGCACGTTAGTAATTTTCGAGACGAGCTTTTTACTGTACAATCAACGACACGGCCGGATAAATTCGTGGCACTTGAAAATTACTAGCCACGCTCTTATCACATCGTGTCATTACTTGTTTACGGCGCGAGAATTTTCACAGGGTAGCTAATTAACTTTGTCTCGGACAAGTAGGAATAACGGCCAGTGCCGAGTTAATTGTTCGAATAATTGACTTACGAAGGGACGGACGAATCGGGACGAGAACCGTAATTCAAATCGTTTTCTTTATTCGTAGGGTCTACGTAGAACGTTTTTTAATAGAGTAACGATACTTAGTTACGAACGCAGATTTTAGGTATCGTCCGTGTAAGCTTGATAGATGCCGTCGTTACAGTTTGATTAGCAATAATAAAAAGTAACGAATATAAAAAAAAGAACATATCGTTTCGATGGTTTTCCATCTTTAGAAATTTCGTTTAAACGGTCCGCTAATTACAATTCATAAAAACTGAGTAGAGTATTGTATGTACAGGATGTGATGAACCTCCCTATTTCTGTTCACATCGCAATTTTTATTCACTGTTTTATTTCGAAGAAACATACAGCAAATTTGGATGTGTACAGAAATTGGGTAGAACTTGAGACGGAATTTTAATTCACGATTGATATGAGAAATTCGCATTTTATTTATTGACGTATTTTCTGATTTACTGATCGATCTTCTTTAAAGCGCGGATCATTCGATTCGATCGGATCTGTGATAATCGGCACAAATAGTCTTACGGTGTACAGTATTCTTGCGTTTGTATAGTAGCTACCAACTAGTCGCATTCTACGAAATACGTAATAATCCAGTGATGCTGCTTCGTCTATTTCGGAAACTCTCGCGTTTTATATTAGCAGCGTAACGAAATAGGAAGCAATAATTTTTGTCTGAAGTAAGCGAGACCTTTTATCACAGAACTTGCTCACGTTTAGAGCAGTTAAGTATTTTTGTGATTAAAACAATGCCTGAAATCCGTATTACTCTTAATTGTTAGCAAGCATAAGTGAGACAATTGGATCTGTTCTTTTCTCGTATTAATTTAAGGGAGTTATTAAAAGTTATTAGGTAAATGGCCTAAATGTATTATGAACGAAGGATCGATAGTGAAGTAAAATCCAGGGAAACTATGAGATTTACTTATATTTCTTATTTTCGTTCGAGCCACTCTCGTGACGATCCGAATTTTCATTGAATTATCAGAGATCGTTCTGCTCCGAATAAATCTAATAACAAATTCGTTCATGTTTTGCGGATTAAATGAAACGAGAAACGCAGTAATGACGGAGCAGGTAGTCGACCGAGTAACAATGTTAGACGGAAGATCGAGAGGGGAGCAAATAATTCGTTGGACGTTCGACGTGTTTCCGACGGGTCACGTGGATGATCAATTAAAACGAAAATAATTGAGCATCAAGTCCGATTAAAACTTCGGCCTGTCCCGCCGAAGGTAATTGAACTCCGTTGACCTTAATACTGCGAACGAATGAGCAAACGGAACGAGCCATACCGGCACGACGACAGAGGCAACTGGTGAATTACCAAAATAGAGGGTCGAGTGGCCATCGGCGTTTCCTTTTATTTTTCGTATCGCTTTACGTTCGTGTGAAGGTTCGTCAGGTTCTCCGCTCGCTAGTCGCGACGAGGAACATAGGTAATTGGCTTAAGGAACGGGTAGATTTACTGTGATTCGAATGATCTTCGGCGAGAGTATAAGTATGAGATTGCGTGGGTGGTTTTGAAATTTATTCAGAGTGAAAGAAAAACAGGTTTTCCCTTGTACATGTAATATTGTAATTAACTAATAAAGTGTACCGTGCATGTAGGTATGTCGATCCTTCTTCCCCGTCGCCTCTCGAACCCTGTGTCTTTAATTCAACTCCCACGCTTAATAGTTAATACAATTAAAAAGTAAATAGTCCGTTTATGTATTTTATACAAACTGTTTGATTTTTCGTTAAAAACTTTGTCATTTTATTACGGAACGAGTAACTGAGAGCTTCGAACCTACTCGTTTTCTCAACTGGTTCGATGATTGGGTCCACGTCGTCTTCTGATTCAAATGAAAAGAACCTTTAGTGACTAAAGCATCTTCGACTGCGCAACCAGGTCTTTGGGGTGCATCTAAATTCGCGAATATTTAGATATACGTTTTTTGATGAGAAAAATAATAGTTCGACATTTACCAGTTAAAATCTGTTCAACGTTAATCTCATTGTTCGACAGATTCCCGTTCGATTTTCCTGCCTCTTCTGAACTCGCAGTAGCTTCTTTAATTTTTACATCGACGCGCGATCGTTTTGGTTTCTTTTCACTGGAGTTTATCGGCGAGGTGTCCGTGCATTTTTTACACCGCCACACGATCCTCGGATCGTACACGTCGATGTCGACGACGGGGGGATGATGGCACAGGGGATGGTAGACTTCTTGACACTCTTGGCATTCCAACAGAATCAGTGGTCCCAGCTTTGCGCCGTTACAGATCTTTCATTCCGTCAAGTAAAGTCGTTCGTTCAAGTTTAATTTAAAATTTCAATGTATTCTGTTGCTAATAGCAAGCGATGTACATGTAATAATTAACCCTTTGCTCTCGGGCGAACCAGCAACTCGAGACGATTTTGAATATATTAGAGAAAAACTTTAGGGGTACTTCAAATTATTTTATACCCAAAAGAACAAATAATAAAATTTAATATTTATATAACTATATATTTATATAATATAATATAAATAAATAATAAAAATAAATAACAATTCAATCATTTTTATTAAATACAACAAAATCTGTTAAATATTACAGTTTGCAATTAGTTTTCGTGCCGGGCGTCGCTTGAGTACAAAGGGTTAAAGAATAGTTGCAACGATGCACGCGGATGGATTAGAACGTTAATTTCAATTAGCAATCGAGCGATAAACAAAATTAAATTAATAGATTAGACGTGTATTGAGGATAGCATCCGTGAGACCTTGCAGAGTAGTCCATCGCCTGATCCTTCGTCGGGAATAGATATCCTAGGAATCTCTCCCTTCTCGCTATAGTCCTCGACGTCCGCGTTAACTATTCTCATCGATTTCCAATTACTTTCAGCCGCGTTATTACCGGACAGCGGCTGGTTCCCGATTCTCCTACTAGCTACCACCCGCTTCCCACACGCTTCCGATTTCTCCGTGGCGAACGGTTTGCCGCGGGGCTTCGCGTTTTGCAAAAATCTCCTAGGCATCCTGGCCGTCAGAGTCTTGTCAAACCCGTACCTCCTCTCGATCGACGCGTCGAGCATTTTACGAAGTTTCTCGGCGCTGTCGTCTTCCGTCGAATGTAACAACGCCAACGCGTTCAAAAAATCCTCCTCGTCGACGTCCGACGTGTCCGACGTCTCCTCGTACATTACGTTTGATATGAAAATCTCCTTTTTAAGATCGCACGCTTGTTTCACAGCGGAACATTGTTTATTTTCTTCAGAGTGAATTTGCTATTAATTAAAAAAGGGTTCGAGTCAAGGGAACATTCGTGTTTTGAATTTTTCAAACAGTTTTTTAACGTTTGTGGATTTTTTTTTGTAATGAGAACTAGAATATTTATTTAAAAAATTAGTAGTTCTTACATAAGATTTTCAGTTTTCAGAAAGGTCCTATGCAATTTCTTTTTAACTCCACTCGTTAAAATGAATTGACGATGAACGAAATAATTAATCGATTAGTCCTGAAGTATTCGAGAAAAAAATTGTATACGATCTTTTTTTGTACGTAATAGGAGTATCTACAACTTTTATTTCAAGAATTTGTTGAAATTTTGACAAAAAAAAATTTTTCAATTTTTCCGAGATTTTTCCAAGAGGTACCCCTTCAAATTTTGCAAAATTTTCGTTTTTCCTCAATAACTCCTAAACCGTTCGAGATACGAAAAAATTGCACAGGACCTTTCTTGTAGAGGACGACGAGATCTACAATTTGCATGTAAAATTTTCTTGCTAGCATTAACAGTTAACGAGTAATTTGCAAAAAACTGTTTTTTCGTTTTTCGTCCATAACTTTTTAAATATTAATGCTAGCGAAAACTTTTTATACAGAAATTGTAGATCTCGTCGTCCTCTACAAGAAAGGTCCTATGCAATTTTCCCGTATCTCCAACGGTTTAGAAGTTATTGAGGAAAAACGAAATTTTTTGTCAAAAGTTCTCCATTTCGACGGTGGAATGGNACATAATCATATGTAACTCATTAAATATCGAAATTAGAAGAAAAATACATAGAATCTTTCTTATAGAAGACGTCAGGGGCTACAACTTCTATATAAAAAACTTTTCACTATCGTGAATAATTAACGAGATATTTCATCGCACGGTATCTGCCGTACGATGCCACAGACGAAGCGGTTAATAACTAGCTGTTTTCTATCGTTAGTACTGCAAATACATACCCGAGGTTTCGTCCACGTAAACGGGAATCTAACTAACGGAAACTACGTTTGAGAACATTACTGAAAACGCGTGGGGTATCGTGCGGTCGATCAATTCAATTACGCGGTTAATAATGATAGCCGTACGAACTTCATACGAGCGTCCATTGTGAAATGTGCCAAAGGAAAGTAGTTGGTATTTATCAACTCGAGTATCGACTTGCCCCGGCCGATTATGCATCGATAAAATTGCGTCGATGCACTATTGTTTTCCGCGTGGTGACAAGCCACAATTCCAACGTAACACGATCGACGAGTTATGACTATTTAGCGAAAGTATTTCGAGAGCGAAACGATACTCAGAAGAAAGAAAAACGACGGCCATTGTACTATTTATTTAAATTCTTCCTTTGATTAATTCATGGTTTGATTTATCGTCAATTCTTCCAAACGTTCTGTCGATAGAACGCACAGCGTTGTAAAACGCCGGGTGAGGCCGACGGGGGAGGGGTCGGTGTCGAGAAATTTCGGCGGTTTGGCTCGGGCAGTGGCCGATCCCGAAAAACCGTTCAATTATTATGGCTGACGCCGGCGGTGGCGGGTTTCGGGTGCTGCAAGCACGGTACCAGAATCGAGTGGAATCCAGTTGAGAAGCCGGGCTCGTTCGACGTCGAACGAGTGGGATTATTCGCCGGTCGGATCGGTAGCTGGAGCCGGGACAACCGGGGTTGGGGCCGGGACCGGAGAACAATGTCGGAAACGACGAGGACGGTATGCCGAGATATGCAGGATATCGCGCAGAACTGCGATCCTTCGAGTCGGACCGGCGCGGCGGAGCGGGTGCACCAGCAGCAGCAGCAGCAGCAGCGAGCGGGATCGTAGAGCTGTGTGCGAGTAAAGCTAGATACATATCCAGCCCCTATCGCCCCGACGCCGACGTCGCACGCAGACACCTCCGCGCGGTCGACTCACTGACACGGTACCCGAGGAGGATCTGCGTCGTCGCGCCGACGAGAAGGAGAGAATACGTCTAAGTGTATTATACCTCCGAGGGAAGCGCGCCTCGCCGTTCCACCTAAATATGTAATAATATCTACCGGAGATACCGGCATTCCTCGACCTCAAGAAGAATTCGATCAAAATGTGTCGCGATACTCCCCGGCTGGTATGCCAGGTGAGCTACGCGTCTCCCGCCTCCTTTCTCTTCTCCGCGACGCGTTTACGCTTCCTACGTCTTCTTCTGTGCCGACGTTCCAACCCCGCGTACCCTCTATATACACCCTTTTCGTTCCCCGAGATCAGAGTCTCAGATTTTCCTACATTCTTTCTTTTTTTTTTTTAAGGGTCGCATGGGATGAACGAAAATAAGGGTGGAGATGCTCGATTCGTCCCTCGATGAACCTCTCGTCGTATCACCTCGTAAATTCGGAAAACATTTATTATGAACGGTGGATGCTTCGCGGGGGTGAGATTCTTAGTAAGGCTTATCACAGTTCAGATTTACTGAAAGTATTAAAATATCTGAACCCCTCCGTGATACAATTTTATACATCGATGCAAATTTTCGATATGGATTCGAGGCTCATGTGATTCTTTTTGCGTCATTTATTGAACGAATCTGAGCAGTCGCGATTTCTGTAATAATTTCGTGTGTGGCAAACAGTTCGCGGTATCCGAATACAATCTGGTCATTGTTGCGACATCGCAAATTCAAGCCGGAACTAGAATTGGCCAGCTTCCGTGCTCCGCAGTTTGAAACAATGCCGGGACAATAGATGCAACTTCCGCGAAATGATGATTTCAAGTTTGTTCCAGTTCCGGCCTAACAAGTTTATGTAACAAACGCCGCGTTGCTTCAAGTTTCGAATACCTACGGCTAAGAAAAATTAATTATTCTAACGCGTTTACCCGATCCCATTCACAGAGTCTGCCAGGTATAGTGAACTAAAAGTTGTAGCCAGGTGAATCATGATTTTAATCCTGCACGGATTTCTCTCACAGATCGTGCGCGATTACTTAGGACGTTAGAAATTTATGGTCGGGAGAAGTGTTCGAAAACTAATTCTGATGTTTAGAACGTGGAGACGTCGGCTGATGAAACATTTCATGCGTCAATGACGCTTATTATCTGGGAATAGTAATAATCATGACTTTAACGGGACGGAAAATAGTATATAATTGACCAGCGCTAAAAATAGTATTATCGCAAGTCAAAAATAGGAATTTCGAGTATCTCTTTTAACGATGTATTGGCTATACAGTCAATCCCAAAAGTTTATGCACTTTAGAAACGCATTTTTTAAAAAGAAATCAGACGTCAGAAGAACATTGCTAATAA